ACAGCTGAACCCAATGAGCCTATAATCAGCTACTTCCATTTTCTCTCATTAATAATAAAAGAACCCGCTGGTGTGAGTTCAAGGCAGCAAAGTGACAGGGCAAGCAGATGAGAAATAGAGGCAGAAGGGCAATACTCATCAACCCTATGGCAGTCCAAAAAATATATGAAAAAGCGCTGTGGCAGTCTTGAATCTTAACCCATAATGAATGCAATAATCCAAAGCTCAATAGGTCTGGCCACCCATGAACTGCTGCAACGTAATGTGACTGCTTCCTACTGAATCAATTTGTAGTTCAGTCTCATAAATATGACAGTAATTTGCCGCATATTGTTTTTCATTAGTGAAGCTGTTAAATATTCTATTAAAGGAAGCACTACTTTCATTCTTATGACTAATTTTTATATCAAAATAGCAGCTTTTAATTACACAAGCATTATCCATTATGGAGTAGGTGTCAAATATTACAAGTTCTTAAATACATTCAAGTGAAGGTTACACGATTAAAGCTTTGATTCTTATGCTGATGGCGTAATGAAAATTCAAACTGCAACTCTTCAGAAAATGCAAGCACATTAGTTAAGAGAGCCAGTCTAACTCAAGCACACAAGCCATGCTTTTTTTTTTTACTTATAAATTGTGAGAAATTAAAAGTCCACACAAGCCAGATACAGGGAACGTAAAAAATATCAAACTTTAATCAGAACATCATCATAAGCCTGATGGAGTCGGCACTTGGCTAACAAGTAAGTTACTAGCAAACATTCCTCACAACTGAACTTCACGACCAATGAGGATCACACAAATGCAAGCAAGCTAGTTTATTTCCCCCATAAAAATATCCTTACTTACCTGCCAGCACCCACTGTTGACAACTGACTCACTTGTGGAAATGCAAAGGGGAGGAAAGTATAGCAAAAGTCAGCTAAAGTGAGGTCAGAGGGAAAGGGCCCAAATTCAGAAAGAAAAAGGACTCTAAATCATTAATAAAAATTAAACAGAGACTTCCTTAAAGTAAACACAGACACTACAAGTAAAATGAGCAGGAGAGAAGTACTCACAGTCCTGGGATGACCTGTGCCGAAAGGTAAACCTTAAGTGACTGCGGTTTACATCTTCAATGGGAATTGCAACCTTCACAAAAGAAAATGTACACATAAATTTATTTGTAAAAATATTTACACACTACCAACTCTCATAAAATATCAAGGTGGTGGGCAACAAAGCTTATAAAAACATAAAAAACAAGACAAGATTGTAATTAAAGTGCAGTTGAAAAGACAGAGAAGTTTTTATAACTTGGAAGAGATAGATTCTAAGTTATAAAAACTTTTCAGCATCCTTGCCTGCAGGCATTCTCCACTTGCCGCAAATCTGATGCAATGAAGAAGGCATGTAAATAGCTATGCAGCTATTTCAAAAAAGTTTTTTTCAAGTATGTTTTTTAAATACTTATTGCAGTTTTAGAGACTGCATTAGTAAACAGAAAAACAGCATCAGTCTTATTCAATGCATTATTATTTACAGAGCAAAAAAATGTGATTTTTCATAACTTTAAAGAAACAACCTGTCCTGTATACCACAAGGTAAAGGTAAATGTACCCCTGACCGTTAGATCCAGTTGTGGACGACTCTGGGATTGCGGCACTCATCTCGCTCTATAGGCTGAGGGAGCTGGTGTTTGTCCGCAGACAGCTTCCGGGTCATGTAGCCAGCATGACTAAGCTGCTTCTGGTGAACCAGAGCAGCACACGGAAATGCTGTTTACCTTCCCGCAAGAGCAGTACCTATTTATCTACTTGCACGTGACATGCTTTCGAACTGCTAGGTGGGCAGGAGCTGGGACCGGGCAACGGGAGCTCACCCCGTAGCGGGGATTCGAACCGCCAACCTTCTGATCGGCAAGCCCTAGGCTCTGTGGTTTAGACTACAGCGCCACCTGCGTCCCTTATACCACCAGTACTTTTATGGAATATAGGGGGAAACTGACCAAGACCATCTATTAACTTTTTACTGAGGTATAACTTTGACTTTGGACTCAGCCCACTTGGGATCTCCCCATATAGCATATAGGCACAAGGTAAAATCATGTTTGCTCCTTTCAGCTTCTATTTTAGTGGTTCTATCCCTTTAGTTGATTTTTCTGAATGCTTTTACAGGATCTTGTTTTAGAGTTTCCTGTTGCTGGTTTTTAATTCTTCTCAGTTTAATGTTGTTGTTGTTGTTTTAAAAAATGCACGTTATAAGCTGCCTTGAGCATGTGTTTTTTTTTAATGGAAATAGTGTGGAAATTTTCATTTAACAAAATAAACACATAACTTTGTTCCACAATGCAATGTAGAGTCTGGAAAAGTCAGTTAAAATGAATCAGCTCAACTATGTCCTAACTCAGTCTGGGACATCAGTTAAAAGGTCGGGACGCAGGTGAGCCCCCTTCAGAACAACATACTCATGATTCAAGCACAACTGCGCTAAGACAACAAGCTGTGAAATCATTTCTGAATGCCCACCTTGAAAAATATATTAAACTAAGACCACTTGTTTGAGCTATAATACCAAAACAAATATACTTCGTTCCATCTTGCCTTTCCTCCAGATCAGAGCACTGGATGGCTTAAAGCACAGCCTGAGATGTAATTCTATATTGTTTTGATACTGTACCCAGAAGTATAACTCAGGGATATGGAGCAGGCCTTCCTTCCATGCCTTAAAGCCTGATAATACCAGAGGGGGAAATAAAATAATACCTCACACTGTCAGCTTTCAGCTCTACAAACCAATAAGGAATGAGTGCTATCATTTGCTGCAGAACTTTACAGCAGTCACAAGCAGGCCAGACAGATTCTAGTGTTTTGACGCTCCTCAATTTTGGGAGCTATGTTCACCTTGTCTACCTTGACATTTACATCACACCTGTTCCATCAATCCATATACGCACTCTTTGATCCAGCAGCTCAGTTTTGTTGCTGTCCATATGTATAAGAACTGTCAATTCAATTTAACTTTTGTCTCACCAACATTTGCCCTTCCTATTCACCTGTTTCTCTTCATTTATCACATCCCTATTTCATAATATACTATCCCCTGCCCAAATGTCAGAACACTTCATGTAAGTATAAATAACCCTATGCAGATTTGTTTCCATGTAAGATTGCATTTGTTTAGCACACGTTATCACCCTCACTCTTTCATATTATAATTTTTTTTCTAATGCACCATTTTTGCCACCTAACTGAGATTTTATTCACTAGAAAAATCAGATCATCCAACTTCAGATGTACTTCCAAGATGGGGAAAGAGGTTTAAATCCCTTAGTTTGTGCCTTTGTTGCCTCAAAAGCAGTATCTGCAGATGTTAGATATTCCTTTTAAAATGCAGAGAAAGTGGGTGGAGGGGAACCCACTGTGCAGGAAGTGAAGTTAAGGCACCTGCCATGTGTAACACCCAAGTGGCTTCCTGGGCGTTGCCAAAGGTTAATTTGCACTATTATTTAGTATCAGTCCCTCTTCAATGCCATCAAGGACATTTTCCCGCTATAATGTGCCACATCTACCTCCCCATAGGGATTAACACCTACAGCTAAAGCTTTGGAGCTGCCACACAGCAGTGGCAGAGCACATGCTTTGAACGCAGAAGGTTCTTTGTCTATGATCCTGGAGATCTGCTGCCGGTCAGGGTAGATAATGCAGAGTTAGATGAACAAATTGTCTGACTTGATAAAAGGCAGTTTTCTATGACAAGCCTGTTGCCTTGACTACCTACATTCTGCTTTTCCAGTGCTACACATACATTCCTTCACTTCCATGCCAAAACTTGGCTGCTTCTATTCTAACTCCGCTTCACCATTTCGATTACTTTTTCCTTCATTCCTTCCACAGGACTGAGCACAAATCTTACTGCCATAAAAGGTTCCCACAGAAACCTACTGCTGTCAAGCCCCTGGACCTCCTGCTTTTGTTAATAGAATTCTTTTTTTAAAAAAATAATTTTTATTAACCGGCCAATCAAATCAAATTCACATCACATAAATTCCGAATTACAAAGCCGAATTTTAAATTTTGTTGTTGAGGGGACCCATATTTCAAGATCCGAAGGGGGATTCTGATCATCTTCTTGCTACTGCTTTAATGTCCAAATCAGTCCAAACAGAGTTCATAATTCTATCCAGTCTTATCTTGCTGTTTCCACATCACATCTTGTTCATATATTTTCTCTTTTTTCTTTATGATCTCTTCTGATAGTCTCCTTAAGCCGATAAACACCAATAAGAATCCTGTGTGAATTTTTCTGTTCTTCCAATCCTCAAATCGAGATGGTTTCCATATATCATCGCCTTCATAGATAACATCGCTCTTTCCATCATTAATTACAGAACTGTCGTTCTTAAGTCCCTCTGAGGAGTTTCACCCACAATATAAAAACAGCTCTATTTCTCTATTTCTCCTCCCAGACTTAAGTCCTCCGACAGAACTTCCCAATATGGTGACGGCATTTTTAACTGCGTCATTCCAAAGCCCTTATACATTCCACGCTCTTCTTAAAACATGCTTTGGTTTGAAAGTTTATCTCCACACAGCCTTAAATCCACAGCTTAAGTCCTTAAAATGACATTTCTGACTTGTGAGGGGAGGGGATTCTTGTTTAATCACATAAGGAAAGAAAGGAAAGTGTTTTTCTCCCCCATCAGTCATCAGTCCCTTTACCATACCGAGTCTTGGCGTATCTTCTCATAATCTATACATGTTCCTCCGACTCGTCTTGTTTTATCAGAGATCTCTTCTGTTAGCAGTCTTTACTCCCTCTCCTTCCTTGAAATATGTGCATTCACTTCATCCAAATTGTTTCTTTCGAAGTTCTTGCAGCTAGTGCCACGGATCAGAGACGGCGTCCAGGAGCGCCAAAATCCCACAGGAGGGCTTTGTGCCTAGTGCCCCCATCCCCACAAATTCGGGGGTGGTATAGGGCACAGCAGGCAAGGGCAGTCCCCCCCACCATCCTGGGGGGGGTAGGGAGGCTAATTACTCCCATCATAGCCTCCAAATTACCTCGTGTGGGTCGGAGAGATGTTATTGTCAGCCATCTTCTGATGCGCCCCCTAGTGGCCCCCGCTTTTGTTAATAGAATTCAGATATTCTTTCGATTCTTTATACAGTGGTACCTCAGGTTACAGGCGCTTCAGGTTATGCGATTTCGGGTTGTGCACTGCGCCGAACCCGGAAGTACCAGAACAGGTTACTTCCGGGTTTCGGCACTTGCTCATGCGCAGAAACACGAAATCGCGCTTTGCGCATGCGCAGAAGACCTAATTGCGACCCGTGCGTGTGCAGACGCAGCGCTGCAGGTTGTAAACGGTGCGGGTTGCAAACGTTCCTCCCCCATGGATCACGTTTGCAACCCAAAGTTCCACTGTATCCAGAATCCATGTGTTCTGCTCACATTTTTCCCCAGCCATCAAATAGTTCTCTAGATACTAAATTTCTTCCAACTCAACAGCCATCTGACAGAATGCCCTATGGTTGTAACTTCATCAAATGCACATGCAAATACATAAATAGCTGCATTCAGACAAGATGCTAAACCATAGTTTAGTGTTACAAGAAAAGCTTAACTGAGCTCTGGACTATTGTTTCCCCCTCCCACTGTGCACAAAAGCAGACCAAAAGTTCCTATTTTCATTTCATATTAACTGCTGAACCCTAAGAAATTATTAATCTTATCTTTGAATAGTTGAAATAAGCCAGCTTTATAAACTGTGGTTTGACTTTACTATCCATAGTAAAGATAGTAAATGTAAAGGACCCCCGGACAGTTAAGTCCAGTTAAAGGCGACTATAGGGTTTGGCGCTCAACTCGCTTCAGGCTGAGGGAGCCGCCGTTTGTCATGTGGCCAGTATGACTAAACCGCTTCTGGCGCAACGGAAGCAAGAGCGCACGGAAACAGCATTTACCTTCCCACTGCAGAGTTACCTATTTATTTACTTGCACTGGCGTGCTTTCGAACTGTTAGGTTGGCTGTGATTAATCTAGAATTGAAAAAAAAGTTTCCTTAAGGCTGTGCTGGGGGAGGAGGAGGAGGAGGAGGAGGAGGGATATGTGATCCCAGGCCTGAATTTTGAAACTGTTCTCCTTTGGGTTTATAGTACTATTAATATACATTGCTTTTACAATAGTTAGCATTTGCTTTGGTAAACTGCTATTGCAATTCTAGTTTCATTAACAATGTATGAGAAATCCCAATAATTCCACAGTGCTTTTGTGCAGTTTACAGTAATACATTTTTATCTTACATTGCAATCATTTGCTTTACTGTTCAGTTTTCTAATTCAAAAGAGGTGAAAGACAGATGTTGGAATAATTCTGTCAAAGCTGTCTTAGCCATAAGACCGGGAGATAAATACATTCAGTCAATGTCTTCATCTATGTTGTTACTTAGCAACCTTTAAACATTCTCTGGCATAGATACCTCTTTTGTCTGACAGCTATATAGCAAGTCTATCAACTGGATTCTCTTACTCATTTTTTTTAAAAGGAATCCTAACACTGGACATACCTTTACAGTTTCAAACCAGCGAGGTTGTTTTACTTGGTAATATATCACAGACTTATATTCTGAAAGCGCTTCATCTCCAGCACCAGGAAAAATGACATTCTTTTAAAAAGAAAGAAGGAAATAGTACACATTATATAATTTTTACTTGCATGTATAAACAAATGCTATTGTTACACTTAATAAGAAAACACAAGGGGGAAACGTTGAAAATTCATGTCACCAGCTTCAGCAGGGTGACAGGGAAACAATAAGCAGAAAATGGTTTTGTCATATCTGAAACAGAAACCTTCCATTCAAAAAAAATAAGTTCCACAGTTAATTCTGACAACTGTTTCCTACATATTCTGACATACTCAGAAGATACAGGAATATCGGGATTGGTATATGGGTCAACTGACCAGACAAATACTGTCAATTCACTGTCTACTATTTGACAACAGTAGGAGATTTATTCCACTAAACCAAGGATGCCACTGTGTGGGTGGCAACTTATTGTTTTCATTTCATTATGCTGTTGATTGTTAGCAATGGCAGAGTGGAGGCTTCCTGTCCCCTAAAGATGGAGCCGTCAGAACAAAACACAGCAGCATAGCAAATCTTCTCCTGCTAACCACCTGCTTTAACTGCAGGCAACTCCAAACAGGAGCACAGATAATCATCAGTGACTAATCTCTGAATATGACCACCCATGATTCTATCTTGTTTTCCACAGAACCCAGCGAGTATTCCCGGCTTGTTATCTAGCTGCCCGCTCCATAAGGTTCCTGAGGGAGGTCTGTATTAAAGTCTAGAAAAAACAGCAGCTCTTGATAGAACTGGAAGTACTAGCTGAAATAAAACATATGACATGCTGTTCCAAGTTCACACATGCTGTTCCTGTTCACACAGCACAGGAAGCCAAACTATGGCTTAGTGAAACGCTTATAAACGTGCAGTCTCCTTCCTGGAGAGAAGCTTGCAACCATGGTTAGGCTCCCTCCTTACTAGCCACAAGCTGCAGCCAAGAACAAACTTTGGCAACAGTACATTGTTAGTGTGGAGAGAGCTTAACCAGTCTTGATCCAGAAAACATGTTAAGCCAAAGGGGACTGGGATGGAGCAAAGCAGCTGCAAGCTCCTATCCAGGAGTCCATATATTTTCACAGTCCTGCAATGCCATAGAACTGCCGTGTACAGTGAACCAGGTCATTAAATAATGGAGTCAGGAAATGCTTTTCTGATGGTGTACATTAATGCTTTACAAATACCAAAATATTTGGCAATATTTGATCCTATTTTGACCAGTCATAAGCCATACACTAAGGAAAAGGTTTAGAATTAGCACGGGAAATAAACAAGCACACAACATACCTCCAATTTTTTGCCATCTTCATCATAAACGGATACTGTAACCTCTACATTCTTTGCTGTGGTTTTACTGCCTTTGTCAAAATCTCCTTGAACTAATGTTACATAGATATCATTACGGACATCACCTGAGGCAGAGAGAAAAAGAGAAAGAAAGCAAAACTATTAGTACAGCATTTTACGGTCTATCAATAAATAGAAAACAAATCTTAAAATTCCTATCATTTATATCTTCTTAATTTAACCTACTCTTTTGTGTTAGGGCTCCTGTCCGATGAAAATTTTAAGAGTTTAGTTGTGAAGTAGAAGTTTTATTTACTCATAAGGTATGCATATAGGTGGTGGGTGGGTGCATTCAAATGCAAGTACACCTGGTACAACTGCACCTCAAAGCTGCAAGTGTTCCTGGATGACACTTTATTTGAATCCACCTCAATCTGAGTTTAGGCCTGTTATGGGGACAGGATCAGCCTTGGCCGTCCTGATGCAGAATGCAGTGCCTGGACAGATGGACAACAGTATGTTACACCTCTGCTAAAACATCTACACTGGCTGCTCATATGCTTCCAGGCCAGGTTCTTGTGCTAATACCAAAGCTCTGAATAATTTAGATCTGGGATATGTTAAGAACAGACTGAATCCTTCCATACCAGCTTAATCACTGAGATTATATAGATGAGCACTGCAAGTTGCTCCCTGTGCTACAGATGCCCAACTGGTCTCAACTAGAAGTTGGGTATATCACATCACCGGTCCTGTGCTATGGAATACTTTTCCAGCAGAGATCTGGCACGCATCCTAATTTTTGACTTTCCGGCATCTCCTGAAAACTTTCCTCTGCAAAAAGGCCTTTGCTGCTGTTTAATTTTTAAGTAGGCAGGCACCTTAATGATTACCTGTACTTTAAAAAAAAATTGACGTTTTTACAGTGAACACCACCTTGATATTTCATGATATGACAGTATAGAAATACTTCTATAAATAGATAGTATTTCGTGTGTGTGTGTGCTTTTTGATTTGAGGCTGCATGTATTCAAAACAACTCAAGTTTAGGTAAAAGTTTCAAAATTTATCATCTAAGATAAACAGAACATTTTGGTTTTGACAAATCAGCTCCAATCCACATTCTACTCTGGGAATAAATTAATGCCTGCCATATATAACAAACAAAAATGCCTAATGATGCAGCACTCTCATAAACGAGAATGGAAACTGAGTTATACCAGAAAGAAGGACAAATTCCTAAACAAATTCTGATTTGATCATAAGCAGAGAGGATTACTTGATAACACAGCACATAGCAAGGAATGCCAAGATTTAGCATTCTTGAGTACTAGCAGCCTTTGAATCCTGAGAACTGCCCTTCCTTCTTGCCCCATTCTTGAGTCTGGAAGAAATGTTGTTGAATGCTCTATTCTCTTCTCTATATTCAAAGGGCTTCCTCAGCACCGCTTTCTACTTATTGATTCTTAATGAGCCTGAGTACCTATAAATATCTCCAGGTCACCTTCCATTTATTTTCCTGAAGAGTTTAAATCTGCATTTGTGGCTTGCTTATATTTGCATCTTATCTCTGCTTCTATCCTTCTTATCTCTTGCAGCTAACCTTCTTGTCAACTTCCTTCCCTTCAGCTTTTCTGGCTCAGGAGGCCTAATTCTGCCATCATTTTCTGTGCTCCTCAAATGCATACAATTGCTTGGTCCAGTTGGTTAACTTTCCTACAATGCCGATCCCATCTTCAGAATTTTTGGCGTTATTATGAATGAAATGTAATTGAAAAGGTATAAATGCTCCTCAATAAATGCTCCTAAATGTATTTCTTATAAACCTGGACTAAATGAACAAAGCAAGCATTTCTCAAATACTGAGTAAATATTTTTGCAAAGATGTTCACACATCTGTATGCAATAATGGATAAGCTACACATTTGATAGCCCATTTGGACACGCAAGCAACAGAGCCGCTTTTGAAGTCTGCCTTTATTGCTTCATAGATTCATTTATAACATACATTAAAAGCCCAAGTACTCAAAACACACCAGGAATCTGAGTTTTGAAACAAAATGAACTAGACGTTCCACCATCTGTGCACAGTTAGTCCACAGTGTTTACAATAGTGCTACTACATTATTAATAAAGAGTCTGAAAGTAGATTGAAAATATAATTTTAAAGCCAAATCTCACGCAAACACTAAAAAAACCAAAACCAAGTCAATTCATACTTTCCCATGAACTGCTTCTTATTCACCTTGAAGAAAAGAACATTAACAACATCTCCAATGTTTTAAGCGCATCAGATCAAGAATTTGTTGAAGCTTACCAGGCATAATAATCTCAGGAAACCCCATTTTGCGAGCCACAGCTGTGGTTCTATCAACTAAGTGAGGGAATTCTTTTCTTATCTGATGAATATCTCCCGGAAGAAGCTTCAACGTTACCCATAAACCTGTAGCATTAAGTACAATACATTAGTTCAGAAAAAAGCTGTTTATAAAACGGTATTCTTCAAGTGCAAAACAATCTCTTAACATTTCCTTAACCTTTGGTGGTAATAAGGTGACAGAGCATCTAATTACACAAGCCCTTCTGAATCAGACAAAAGGACTACCTTGTCCAGCATCCTGATTAGCACAGTGGCCACCCAGGTACCACAAGCAGGATGTCAGCGCATAGCACTCTCCCATTCATGGTCCTAAGAAACTGGAACTTAAGAGGAACACCAACTCAGATACTGTTGGAAATACAGGAATTGCAGCCATTGGTGGCTTTAACAAATGCATGGGGATAAAGCCGTCTAAAGTGGGGGCCATCCATCACCATATTATGTGGAAGCGAATGCCACAGTTTTATCTATTGCCGTGTAACTAGTCCTTTTCTATTTCTTACTTGAATCTCTCATCGTGCAGTGATCCCAGGCGGGTTGCTATTATTAATAACAATAATTTATTTAATGCCCGCACTTCACTTCATATTATATGAGAAATGGGAAAGATTGCACTCTTGAAAAGTATCACTATCTGGTAAAGAAGAACCTTAGAAAAGGTGAATAGAGAAGGTATGTAGTAGGAGTTGGGTTACTCTTTTCACACCCCCTCATAAGCAAACCTGCAAGAAAAAGGTCAAATGCTTGTGGTGACTGAGGGAAGAAACAAAGCGACAGATGCAATTCTCACCATGAACGCCTCTCTTGTTGGCAATGGTGCCCACCTGAGAGGTGCCAGAACTGAGTTCCTGCAAATTCCAGCTGGGGGAAAAAGCCATGATTCACATCTTTATGCAATAGGCTACATTCAAGCAATGGAAACAGGACCTTAGACGGGCACGCGTACATCTACCTTTTCATCCTCCACCCAGGCAGGATCACATCTCATTCCAGCCATGCAAAAGCACTCAAGGATGGTGCAGAGCAAGGCAAGCGAGGGGAGATGAAGCATATCCTCGCAGGGTCCTGAAGGCTCAACAGAGATTAATGAAGGGCTACATTTGGCCCCTACGTATATAGGTTTATAAACTAAATGCACACATACCTGCTATGGCAGGTATTGGAAACTAACAGCAAACATGGACAGAGTATTGTAGCACCTCAAAAAGATTAAGTAGAACTTGTTGCGTTTGGCACAACAGGCTAACACGGCTACCCAACTGGAAATGTTCACTATAAAGAGCAACCCTAAAATGATAGATGTGTCGCGTTATAGCGAAATGGCGGAAAGACTTGCGTGCAAAAGTACTAAAGTGCATATATCAAGAATAGTTAAGACTTTCATCAGCTGAGTAACCCAACGAAGCAAGGAGGTGCCCATGAAAAAAGAGGCAATGTCACCATGCTGAACACAATTCAATCAATTCCCTTCAGAACAATGTCAAAGTTATCAGACAAAATGGGAGGAATTACATCATTTCTAATGCTAACAGTGTAAAGTAAAGTGAAGTACCTACCCTGACCCTTGTGGTTAACTTCTTTAGCAGCAATCACTTTGTTTATTACAGTCTGAAGGAAATCATTCTCCCCTGCCACCCTGGGTGAAAAACGGGATGATATGTTCAACTGCTTGTGTCGAATGGCGTTATCCAAGGCTAGCCTGGAGGATGCACATGATGACCAACACCAAAAGGTAACAATGGATGGGGGACAGAAAACCAGAAGTCACAGTAACAAGAAACAGAGGAGCGTATCACATAGTTGACAAAGAGTGTTCATTAGTCAACACGCAGACGAAGGATAGGAAAGGGAACAACACAGACATAAGAAGATAATCAGGAAGAAGTAAATCTAATGAAGAGAAGTAAAGCAAACTTGTGATTCCAGAAACGTACCCCAGATCCCAGCTCTGTTTGCAGATGAAAGATGAATAGCCTGAGAAATTACATATAAAATAACAAAACACCAAAATGTAAAACATACTGCTCCATGGAATGCTCGAGACTAGCTTCAGAAGTGATGTGAATTAAGCCGTAGCTTAATGAGAGTTAACAGAAGGGTGAAAAGCAAAGCTACTATGCACAGAAGTAGCTTCGAGCAAGGGAGAAAATAAGAGGAAATTCAAGAAACATTTTTACTATGGCTGAACAAGATGAAATTGAAGTTATAAATGAAATGCAGCATTTTGAAAAATCATATCTACTACGCCATATTGCCATGTGACAGCCGTTGTGTTTGTATTCATTTCACTGGCTATGAAATAACCAGGATATGAAAAGAAAAATGCCAAGTGGCACAACAAAGGCACAACGTGAAATGAGTAAGAAAAAAATTGCTTCGCATGTTCAGCTCTTAAGTCAACATTGGGAATGACAAAGCTATTCATCGCCAGTGCACGTTGCTCATTCCTGATGCAGAGTTTTTCTGAAGAACATTTTAATCTACCATGGGAGAGGAGAGGGGGAAAGAAAAGAGAACCTTGGCACGTATTATTCTGCATCCTTTCAAAATTCTGATTTATGCATACTGCTATAAATCAGATTTAATGGAGCAAGAGACTTGTAAGCATTTCACTAATATCTACTTTTCTTTATCCATAAATATGCATTGTCAGTGTTCATCCTCATCTCCCAATACACTTGTCGCAGCTTAACTTATAACTGTCACAAAGCATGAATGGAAAGTACTCTTCTTCCAGGGTCCCTGAATTACACCTAACTTCATTTTAAACTACAATACTTTATTAACTTGTTATTAATCATAATTACTATAAAAACAAAAAATTTGAAGGACCCATAAATTGTCACCCTGTATTGACCCAGCAACTGAATATTGTTTCATCTGCCCTCCAACATCCCACTTTCTTATTTTATCCAGGTTTCCACGTAAACTTACTTCAATGTTCTTATGTCTACTGCTTTTTTCTTTAAGCAGCGTGTGTTACCAAAAGTACACCTGATTACAAACTGCGTAAGAAAATATTGCCAATGCCTACACAATGCATAACCACTGTCCACAATGTGCATTATTTGGAGATTTATTTATTTACTTCATGAAATTTATATACTTGACTGTAGAAAGAAATCTCAAAGTGGTTTTACAGAAAGACTTAGGATTCACCCTGTCCTGTCAGTGGAAGCCACACGCAAGGTGTGCACAGTGGGGCTTTACCTCCTCTCCTCCTCCATGTGCCACCCCCAGGAAACTGGCTTGGGGGGCCCAATAGTACCCTCAGAACAGCACATGGCGGGGGGGGGGGAGAGAGGAATCATGGCAAGCTACAACGCTTGTGCAGACAGAACACTTGGAAAAGTGAAACACTGAATTCCACCTTTAGTAAAGTGCCCAAAAGCATTCACCTGTAAGCTTACTGAAAGCCCCCAAAGAAGCAAAACCATTTCTCACACTGTGTCATCAAGATTCTGTATCACTGCCCTTAATTATTCCCAGAGAACATAATGTATTTCAGTACCTATGGCTGCTCAATGCTCTCAACATCTCTACAAACTAGGAAACTTGTGGTCAATTTAAATTTCTTATTCAGGCCTTGACTGTAGTCCAGACATTTCTGCGCATGCTAAGCTCTTTATGTGAGCGCTCCCATCTATTTCAGTTGAGGTGAACAACCAACACACACAGCACCTTTCTTTCATCCAGAGAAATGGATGGGAAGCCCTTCCAAGTGGGGAGCTCTATAGCTAAATTGGAGCTTCCTTTCCCACAACAGTAATAAGGACAGACTTTGAGTGTTTGCTAATCAAATCTTAAAATAACAATCTGGAAATAGCAGCAACAATTGCTTCCTTGTGAACTATACAGGTCAATTATACATCCAATGTGTCCTCAGCTTATGAATATCTACACAAGCAAAAAGCTACACAGAAGTTCAAAGCTATCTGATTAATTTCCTCAACAAAACAGGCTAAAAATAAGTGACTTTATTGCTAATTTGCTGTAATATTTATAGCTGCCATACACAGTACTATTTTTCCCTTTCTTGGCATTCTCATTATGGAAACCATCTGAGCTAAATTCTAATCTGGAAAGTCATAATCCACTATAATATTGCTGGAAATCTCCTCTGACATTACTACTGCATTACTTTATACTTACGACTGAAATGGAATGAAGTGTTGTTTGTCCTCGTCATCTACTTTCCCACTAATTATGTCAGTTACATCCATTACTGAAATCAAAAAGAGAGAAATGTCATTAAAGAGATCAACATCTAAAGGGAGGGAAAGTGGCAAAGAGGCATAAAGACATCTTTGTGCTTCACAACAGACAGTTTGGAACTATTTTACGACAAGTATATTCTTATGTTCAAAGATAGCCCTGCTATATTCACATCAGGGAAAAAAGCAGAATCTTCTGAAGCTAATAATGGCTATGCATTTGTGCATCACATACTGAAACATGTTACAACTGATAACCCACTTCACTGCAGAATAAATTCACACTTTCATGGCAGATGCTGTGAGACTAAAGATAATAATGGCTCTCAGAGAGAAACTTGCTTTATTTTCTTGTTTACAACCTTTTACAACATTTAGGTGTATTCTCCTGTGGGCATACAAATATGCATGCAGAACAGAACATACTTCAAAAACTCATTTGCAACTTGAAATATCCTCTACCAAGTCTTCAAACTTATTTATTGAAAATACCTATATGCTGCACATCTTGTTATAAAATTCCACAACTGCTTACAGAAACATAATCAATGAAACTCAATATTAACATTAAAATAAAATTTGTAAAAAAAAAACAAGAAACCAATACAATAATTCATTAAAACCAGGCAATGTGGAATGCTAGTTCAGTATGCGAGTTCTGTAAGGCAATTTGCACCAGACCAGACATGGGATAATGAAAGACCCAAACCCAAACCCAAACCCAAAGAAAGTGGAAAGGTTATTCTCAGCTTAACCAGTTAGGGCACATTCAGAAGACAGCATGCCATGGCTTGGTAACACAGCACCAGCAGCAAACAATCTCTGAAGAGACACAGTTTTACTAGCAGACATCACCATGATCTAGGAGTAAGGAGAAATACATTGTATATGCCAGTCCAGCACTGCCTCTGTCGGCCACTTGTACCTGGATGTTTGTGGACAAATGCCCTGCTTAAGTATACTGTAAGGATCTAATGCACTAAAACCAGTCATCAGAACCATGCTGACGTAACTTTCAGAATCAATATATTCTTTTCAAGCAAAGTCCTTAACATCATATTCCATCTTTTTTCAACTCTTCCAAATGGGAAACTCAGTAATGAAAACAAATCCAGTACGTTTCTTCAACTTGGTGCCGGAAGAGTAGGGATCAAGGCCAGCTTTTTAGATCACTGTAGTGAAGGAGTAGAGGGGTAATTTGTCCACCTTTGGTCCCCACGCTGCACTCAGCTCTCACCTACGGCTCTTAGAAGCTGTCAGCATACAACAGCAGCCACACCCTGGGAATGGCTTCGACTGGCCAGCTAAACCAGGTGGGGGTAACTGATGGGTCTCAAACCCTCAGTGAGTTAAGGACTTCCCCTGCATGTGAAGACAGATTCTGGTGGATTGAACAGACAAGACTCATTGTGAGTCCAACTATCAAGAAGACGGTTACTCATGTGCTGTGGAGGGAAATGAGGGGCAGAGGGGGCTCATCAGCCTGGGAAGGTAGCCCATATAAGAGAAGGAGAACTCTGATCCTAAATCTCTGTTGCCTTGCAGCTATACTCATTCACAAGAAAGTCTTTGGGAGTAAACCCTGAGGAAAAATCTGTACCCACTGCCTTGTGGGACATCTTCAGGAGAAGAAAAGGCTAAGGCCTACACAAATATAGAGTGGAGTCTCTAAGACGGTTGGATGGTGTCTTGAAGGCCTCTTTCTGGCAACACCTGCAGGCAATCTGGTGCCAAACGAATTGCTCTGCTTTCCTTTGGACCACCACAGCCAGGGCTCTTGTCATCTAGGGAGCCTATGCTTGCGCCTCAGGGAGGTCACTACTCAGACGCTGAGATTATTCTTTGAGGCCCTTCTTCGCATGCCTCCTCCACGAGAGGCCAGAAGATGGCAACACAAGAATGGGCCTTCTCTGCAGTGGCTCCCCGTTTGTGGAATGCTCTCCCCAGGGAGGTTCGGTTGGCACCTTCATTATATACTTTTGGGTGCCAGATGAAAATGTCCCTCTTTAACCAGACCTTTGACTGATTGACATCCAATGCCCTTTTAAATATGCTGAGGGGGGCGGGGATTACTGGGTTGTCTTTGTTTTTGTTTTCATTATGTATTTTGTGGTTTTGATATCGTAATTTTATGTTGTGAACTGCCCTGAGCTCCATGGGTATGGGGCGGAATAACAACAATAACAACAACATCTAGAGGGCACCAGGTTGTCTATCCTAGCCCTGGTCAGTATCACATGATTCAGCTCTACCATCCCTATTAAATGCTGCATGCAACTTTCTGGAATCCTTATCCAGTTTAATACTGCATCATTTCTCCGCCCATCCCCTTCCATTCTGGGAAATTAGCACTTTACATTTTATGCAGCAAATATTATGTTTGCCATAGCTACCCTGCTTCTGCACTAGGGCTCTTCTGAAACAAATACAGTGGTACTTCGGGTTAAGAACTTAATTCGTTCTGGAGGTCTGTTCTTAACTTGAAATTGTTCTTAACCTGAAGCATCACTTTAGCTAATGGGGCCTCCCACTACCGTCGCCACGCAATTTCTGTTCTCATCCTGAAGCAAAGGTCTTAACCCGAGGTACTATTTCTGGGTTAGCGGAGTCTGTAACCTGAAGCGTCTGTAACCTGAAACGTCTGTAACCCGAGGTACCACTGTATATAAACATGTGAAGGGCACATGCACATTCCTTGGCAAGCCGCAAATGATCTAGGCATAAAATTCAGTAAATATAACCAACAGGCTGAATAATTATTCTCAAAACTTCAATATGCCAAGTCAGCAGTTGTTCAATACCAAACAGCTGCTCTTACTTGCAGAACATTTTGACAGTGCACCTAAAGAGAATGGATTACCTGCTACGCCAAAAGGTCGTCGGAGCCCAGAGGTTAGCTTTCTTGTGTTGTTGTCTCTTAGTTCCATTCTGCCTACTCGTACGATCTGACAGACGAAACTGATTTTCTCTCTTTTCAGGTCTTTGCTGCCAAGGTCCTAGAAACATTAAGTTTTCATACCTTTACTTTGCAAACTGCACTTACATTTCCACATAAGATTACATAAGAAGAAATATCTTTTGAGGTGCTAGAGAGAACAGAAAGCGACCATTTCCCATTATTAGTTACAATCTACCCCCTGTTAGAATGCCTCCCCCCTTCCAACGCCAACAAATGCATCCGGATTACATAAGAAGAAAGATTATTTGCTATTTAGCCTTCTCAGTTTGCCATCCCTTCAACCGTTATTTGCATGACAAAAAGTTTCATAACGATCAAGGAATACATTTACATGGAAATGTTTAAAATGACTAGAGAGTCCTGAACAATTCCTACTCATTTAAAAATGTATTTCCCACACAATCGTCAAAGAGTCTTCAAGAAATAGTTCATGTGATTTTTTTTCCAAGTGCAAAAGCATCAAAAATCTTAGTGCCCTTAGCAGCTCAAAGAATTTCCTGCAGCATGTGTCAGAATTGAGCTAAAGCCATATGAAAGTCCATGTGGGTTCAAAAAGAACAAAACTAGGAGCAAGTGAAATACTGCCTATGAGACAGATATGGCCAATTAAAGCCACACTCGGATGCTACAGGAGTGCTGTGCTGAAGTGTGTATACCAAGAAAGGAGGACCTTTTTTTAAAAAAAAAAAGTCCAAAAACTAAATCCCCTCAGGGCCTAATTCTCAGCATCCTATGCTAACAGTGAACAGAGGGGAAAGTGGGTGGAACAACAGAGGCTGACCTTTGTACTAGGGCTAGGCGACATCTGGTTTTCAACATTGTGATATTTCACCAGCTGAACATCACTATATACTGATATATCACAATGTCTGACATAAGGATGGAGCTATGTAGAGTCATTGGCTGGCTTCACAGTTTTTCCCACATTGTGATTTTTACATAGTTCACACATACACATCATGATTCGGGATATATTGCCAGGTCAAAAACCAATATCACAATATGGACGTCAAACCAGTTTTGGACGATATACCACGCAGCCCTACTTTCTACTGTAGGCTACATTCCAGTGATTCAAAAGCCAGAGGTTTCTGCACTCACACTTCTCTGTCCTCCATACAGGCAAGAATTAGTGCTCAAGGACACTTTATAGCTAGGTAAAAGCACTTGCGGGGGTACAGAGAAGTGCTACTGAGGGGTGTGGCCTGGGAAGAGTCTCAAGGGCCACATTTGGTCTCTGGGTCTGAAGTTCTCTATCTGCAGTGCAGAGCCATGCGGTCACGTTTCTTCCTCCCCAATAACTATGTTCTGCATGTGGTTGTGTGAGCTCTTGCTCACCTGATCATTCAAGTACCCCAATCACAGCTTTCTGCTTACACAGCTGTGTGAAACATGTGGCTACCGAGAGAGGCCAGAGGGACACGGTAGGGCTAAAGCACAGCTTTGCTCCTTCCTGTATATACCTACGCTCTGGAAGCAAGAAATGCATGAATTTCTGTCTTTTCCTAACCCAGCTCCAGTCCTTGAAGGCAGAAGCTGGAAGGCAAACAATGCCCATTTCTGCACCAACCTGAGGCTGGTGTGCAGTGGAGCCAAAGAAGACTTTGGCAGGAGCATGGGAAACAACACTATACCGGATCAGACTGTTGGCTGATCTCGCTCAGTTCTGTCTTCGCTAGCAGCCAAGCAGCTCTCCAGTCTTTCCCAGCCCTGGAAATGCCAGGGATTGAACCAGAGGTTGAACCAGAGCCCTTTAGCAGTGCTCTGTCACAAAGCGATGGCCTTCCCCTGCTGGAGATTTCCTGTTGCCTCACAAACTATTGAAGCAATAGAATACCTCAAAAGTTGCAAACTTACCGTGAACACTGCTCGAAGATTATGTAATCTATCTATGTCTTTTGGAAGCCCAGAACTCGACCACCTCACCAGATAATTCTCACTGCATAAATAAACATATCAGTTTATCAGCTACATCACAATTTTACAATCAAAAGCTAAATATGTCACATTGTGACACATTAAAACCTGCATTTTAACAAGCATACAGAGATTCTACTCAGACAATATTGCCTCTGTTAGACAACAGTGTTTTGTACATGTGTAACATACACAAACACACACATTTAAGCAGTAACAGGAACTAGGAATACATGGATTTGTTTCATTTTACATTCCATTTGGGCTGCAGAAGAAATGTGCTCTGGGAGAGTAAAGAGAATCCTGATGGATTCCCCCGCCCCTTGCATTACAAAAAAGGGCATGTTATCTGAAAGCTGAAAGAATTTAAATTGGCTTCTGAAGTTCAAGGTTTAGATTTTCTGTATCAATTCACGGTGCCATTTTTCCAGATGCTTGTCAAAATGCGAGCACTAGGCCCATTTATACTTGTAAATGTGCTGTGTACTTTACAGCCTTCGTCTTTGCTATCCTCAACAGGCATTTGTGATGTTCATCACTATAATTCCCACTTTAAAGGATTGAAGAGATAAACGCTGTACCCTCTCACTGAGAGGACTGCAATAGGAGTGTTTTGTGCAGTTCAGAAGAGAGCAGGGTGTTGAATGTATATCATGGGCACTTAAATTCTTTACTATCACCTTTTCTATATATCTTCAGGAAGATGCATTTCCCTGCCATTCACAAATAAAGTTTTGGGTTTGTTTTTTAAAAAAAGTAAAGAGTGTATATTCATATGACTAGTCCTGTGCCTTTGGGATTAGGCAGTCTCTAAACTAAAATATAACAGTTAACAAAGCAATCAAAACATTCCCGTACAGCACTGACCTGATAAACTTGGATTCTAAAGGATCATACAAAGACATAAGGACTTCAGCATCTTCTCCGATTTTGCAGACAACGTTTTTCAGGTTTACAAACAAGGCAAACGAAGGTGTCGCAGCAAATTTGGCTTGCCTACTAATGTCAAGATTCTGCTTTTGAGACTGAAACAGGAGAAAGTTTTTAAAGAATTTACCAAGTACTCTATGATGACTAAGAAACAAGCTGACCCACCACAATACAAACATTTACATAAATCCAGCCTTGCAAATATTTGTGCGTTTAGCTCCTGTTCTTAGCTCACTAATCTGCTCCCTCTCTACTCTCACTCCATGCATCTTTCATGTGTCATAGGCAGCATGCAACTAGGCTAGAAACTGACAGGGGGGGTAAGAGAAGGATGGACAATTACAGGGTTGGCAGAGCTGCCTTTCTTTGTCATTTACAAGCAATACATCCATGCAGGCAAGTACCACATGCTGTGGTTGCTGCAAACCTTCTCTCTTCTCATTAGAAACAGTAGTCTCCCAGATCTAAAAGATTCAGAGAGGTAGGCAGCATAGCACTGCAAGGCTGATACAGAGGCAAGGGAAGATTCAATTCACCAATTTTATCCTGCCCCAGGTGAGCAGACTAGTGGCTAATTAAACCCTTGGAGGTTTTAAATCTATGATCTATGAATTCAAATGCTAAAAGCTACGGTGCCAACTAAAAAACTGCTTATGTTCTTTCAGGACTGTAGCAAAGGCTATAGCCAGGAGAAATGTGCAATGCCTTTTTCAAAAACATAATCTTGAAAGCCATTCACAATCTAAATGTCTTTGCTAGTCCTTAACACCATTTACACATTTCCACTAGTATGCATTATGTTTTATTACTTTTTCTTCCAGCAGTCTTTCCTCCACTTGCTTGGAAGCTATTTCATGAGCTCTGAAAAGGCTGATGGTGCTGGTTTGCTCAGGATCCAATATATTGCCATCTTCGTCCCTTACCACTAGGTCTAAATCAAGAATTCTGTATGAAAAGGAAAACAACAGCAAGTGAATCAACAGCATTTTCTTATTAATCTGAACTAGACACAATTAAGAAGTTTAGTGCTTTCAAATACTCTGGCTTTTTAGACAAAGCTACAGGAGGATTCATAAATTCCCCCGTTTAAACCAAGATCAGAACACAACCATTTACAGAAGCAGAAGGTGAATTCAAGGACTTTTCCAGATCTACGACATACGTCTATGGTAAAGCTTAAATGAAGTTAGCTACCTCTGGTGTACTGAGAGAACAGGGTAGGGGAAAAGAACATATTAAGAAAAATAAAAGTTCTGCCTCAGAACTTCCAAGAGAAAACATAGTTAATTCAGAATTAGGTTGTAGCTCTCCTTCCAACAAGAGCAGAAACCTCTAACTGGACTCTGGGTAACAGGAGAGCAGTTTTAAAAGTTTCCAACATGCAGCTACTTAATTACTTCACAAATTACCATGAAATAAGTGCAACTAATAATTTAAAAAAACCTTCTAAAATGTAAAGGCTCCTCAATGGAGTTCAAATAAACAGAACTTCTCTGACTTTCCATATAATGGTCTTAAAACCTTCATTAAATTATCACTTCACATAACTGATGAGTGGAAAAATGTTATCAAAAGCTGCTAATTGTTTGAGGCACCTTTAACAATAAGGATGCAGAATCCCTCCAATAGCCAGTCAGCAGTACTCATTTTACAACCCCAAAACCAACTGTATCTTCTATAAATATTTCACAAACAAAACTAAAATGCTGCTTTTATAATATGTCAGAAAAAAGGGAAGAAGAAACAAGTTGGTTCTCGATTAAGTGCAGCAGAAATTTACTGAGAAAACGGCAAAGAAAGCTTTATGTATTGAGTTATCTGATCTCAAGTAGTCATTTTTGTTTCACTAAGGGAAAAACACAATATACACAGCTACTCTGAAACAAAAATTGTGTTTGTTCTTTTATGGTATATATTGTACTCAGCCAACAAGCACAATTCTCTTCCAATTCTAAATACAAAATTGCAATCATTTAATTAATTACTTTAGTCCATCGAAACACCAATGAATAGATACAGCAAACCCACAACTTATGTGTTATTTTACTTGTTTGTATTCAGTTTATGTGCATGGCAAAAAAATAAAAAATTGGGTGGGGTTCTGGGAAAAATGACTTTGGCAATCTCACCTGCCATTGAGCCCAATGTGTCTAGACTCAATGCAATCTTGGCTTTGGGCACAATCACTAGAACATAATCTCTGCTTAAGTTGCAGGCTTATTGTACAATACAAGAAGTCCAATAATGTCTGATTTAGCATTGGACAGTTCCTTTGCCAAATGTAAAAAATGAAATAGCCAACAAATAATATTGACAACATGTGGTTAATTGATTACAAATCATATCTTGGACTATAAATCTTGTATGATATAATAATGTTAGGAGGGTTGCAAATCATTTGTAGCCAGTCTTCAAATGTTTAAGTAATCTATCCAGGGCCACCTTACCCAAATGTTTGTTACTGCAATTGGAATTTGAATCAATTAATTGGTGAAAAGTTAGAAAGCTTTAGCACAAAAGTTACAAAATCAGTAGTAAATCTCCAGCTTCAAATACTGCAAACAGCCTTCACTTAACAATTTGAATGCAAAAAAAGGTTTCAAGGTAATCTTCTTAGATAATATTTTTTACAAACATTCGCTACAGAAAGCATATATTGAAAATGTCGTGGCTGTTTCTCTTAATTTGAGTTAGTAAGTCCCAGTGAAGGAGCCCTCAAAAACAATATGTTTCACACAAAACCTGATGTTAAAATTCGCTCTCATAACAAGTTTGGCAAAACACTTACAATGTCTATAATTATATAACAGATCCAATTTCTGGCAAAACTTTTTTGTCCCAATTCCTATTTGCTGCAAAAAAAAATATTGACTGGTATGTTAGTTTTTGCTGCTTTGGAGCAAATTTGCTAGCCAAATCTCAGCCCTTTGGTAAACAGAGGTTAGATTGTACTCTAGAAATTTATTTGGACAGTAAGTAATGTGAAACATACATCTCTAATACAGAGGACTGGAAGCTTTCTTCGAAAAAAGTAAGAGTGAGAACAGACATGAAATTTTCAATAGGTTGGAAGTGGTCTGAACACAGATTTGTTCCATTCCAAGACATTTCTTTTCAGAGCACCGAGTGTTCAAACCAATCCCATCATATCAAAAACATTACATCTGTCTTCACCTTAAAGTTCAGATTCTCTCAGTTCTAAGATTAAAAGAACTTCCAAGGGTGAAGACCAGCATAACATTTATACCTTAGTAGGGCTGAGTTGGAAATGAACTCATTGTGTTTAATTTCAGCACACATTTCCTCTCAAGTTCTGAAAATACCAACTTTTCACATTTGCAAGAGAAGCCAGTTATGGATAGGGGACTGCAAATCTTTTTATATCATGTCTGCCTTTACCTTCAGAACCTTGCATTCTTACAGCCAAGGAAGAATATGTAATGGCTAATTAATAATACAGTCCTAATCATAGAATTGAAGGGTTGGAAGGGACTAATAAGGAATTCAGGTGCTGAGTTATGACCACTACATAGCCAAAATGGGGTTATGGAGAAACGAAAAGTCAGCTTGGGGAATCCCTAAGGTTTACAGAAGCTGAAAAAAATATTGGGGGGGGGACTAAGAAGCCAACCCCCCCCCCTCAAATTATCTAATTAAGACTGCACATGATCAATGGTCACAGAATGCCATGTCTGTCTGTCAGGGGCAGAAAGCCCAAGGCAAGGCAAAATGAAATGGATTATCCTGGTGGGGGAAGCATGACCGGAAGACTAGAACATTGAACAGGAGTACTCCACAATGCAACGGTTTATTGCAGGTTTATACAAGTTATAGGCATATAACTTCTACGTACAAAAAGGAAAAAAAAGAAAAGGCTGTGCATTTCAAACAACATGACAAACCTGTTTCCGTAGTCAATTTTGGCAGTGACTTTCTTTTTAAGTTCCTTGAGCTCATCCTGGGGTAGGGTTCCAGAGAGTATTTGTGACCTCCATTCAATAAGATCATATATCATGTGCCTTACATTATGGAACATTTCTCTGTTATCTTGCTGTAAAAGAGGAAAACAGTATGCATTTAGTTCTGTTATTGGTCTTCTTCATAATGAAGTATAACAGCCAAAGTGGTACAGCAGCAAAAGTGCTGGGAGTTGGATTTAAAAAATAATAATAAACAAGTATCGATTCAGTATTCTGTTTTTTATCCTCAGGGTGCGAATGCTATTGGACCTGCCTCTCAGCCTCCTACAGCCTTGCAATGTGGGTAAACTGTCCGCCTTGCAAGGCATTTGGAGCTTTCTCTGCGTAGCCTCCAAGCCCAGAAAAGGTGATGGGATTCCGCAATTTAAGAGCTTACCAGACTGAGGAAAGACCATGAGGCTGAAGAAGAGTATCTGCACCTGCGCTCTGCCCCATAAGCTGCCAGGTTCCCATAGCAGCATGAAGGCAGCATGCGGGCATATTCCTCAGATACAATTTGGAAAGGGGCTTGCCCACTTTGGGGAGGGGGGTTAAGTTTTATGCATTTCTGCTTACCACAGAGTCCCCCCCCCCAAATACCCCTGGACCTCTCTTTCATTCGTGGGTGGCCCAGTTTAGAACATAAAGTTGTCAGCACTCAGCTCTTGAATTCAGCATTAGCAGGTGCAAGTGTAGTCAAGAGGCTGGAATTTATAACTACTGTAGGTCTGTTTGTTTCTTCAGAATAGTCAAAGCAGTTTTTAAAACACAACTTGGAGAAACCAGACCGATGCAAAAGTGAATTTTCTCAGTTCCTTACAGTTGGGTTTTCATTTGCAGTACCACAAGGAAATACTCGGGAACAATATTATATATACACACAAACATGTTAAATGCATGCAGGTGTGCACAGCCAAATGCATGTGTGAATCAATAACAGAATGAAAATTATAAGCATTTTGGCAACCCAAATTTCTAGAAGGAATGGGGGAAGAAAGAGAATGGCCTTTTTGTTCATATAGAGACATATGAGGTTGCCATATACCATATATCAAATCTACTGATCCATCTACCCTAGAACGGTTGACTCCAACTCACGATCGCTCTCCACTCGAGACAGCTGCTCAAGTTTCTTTTTAAACACAAGATGGTGAGAATGGAACCTGGGAGCTTTGACAGGCAAAATCTGCATATAAAAGGAGTGCCAATCTGGCCAGTGCGCCCAATTTGATCCATAGGCCAGAGGTTCCCCACTGCTGGTATAGACCCTTGAGCTACTGGCACCATGGCCATTGGAATATTAACTGGTGTATGTAGCTTGGCTGATTTTGTGAACTGAGCTACAGGCTTTTCCAAGGACCAACGGTACAGGACCCTCGAAAATGAATTATCTTAGGAAGCCTTCTATACTTACAATATAGAGCTGCCGCCATATTGTAGACCATTCCCGTAGCGTGGTGGTAACCTCCTGAATGAGTGGTAGTTCGCTGGGTATAACAGTTTCATGTTGTCTAAGAAGCAAGCCAACATAGAATGTCATTCATATGGAAGAAGAGGAAAAAAGGAGGGGAAATGTAATTGCATTCTAATTACATCAGCTGTTAGATACCAACGCTGAATTGTGATGTTCTACACAACCTACCCAATTCTTTTTGGTTTAAAAACTCATAATCACAACTTTAAAAAAAAAATCATTTCCAACATTATAAAATGGGTACACGCTTGAGAGAGTAAGTATTTGGTATTCATAAGCACACACACACAAAAACCCGCCAACTGCACATCACCTGTCATTACAAGGGATTCTGTTCAAACCCAAACACTGCTAGTTTCAAGGACAAGAAAAGCTATTTTGCAAGTCCTCAGTGTTTGTGCCTCTAAATTACTACATTTAAATAACGCATCATCTGAGTACTATACAACTACCATACTACACAGTATGTCTAAAGTATGGTGCTTACTGAAGGAGCTATGCAATCAGTCAGGAAGGTGTCATTATGCAGTAATCAAATGATTAGCGCTTTCATAATTTACATATTTAAAAAGGCATAAAAATAAACCAGGCACAGAAGAATAGTTATTTTACATTCAGGCTTGTATCTGGCAAAGCTTTTTTGGGGGGGGGGTATATCTTACACTTTTTGCTTGATGGGTTTTTTTAACCCTTGCCAGCTAATGGGATTTCTGTGGACCCCAGTGGCTGTTTAGATCATCTGTAAAACTTATCTTAGGCAAACCTGAACCACTTCCTACTCCATACAGCCCTCAAGAATTATGGCGTGAGCTGTCCTGCAGTATTTTATCACAGCCCCTTTCCTTTTTATTTTACTTAGCCAGGAGTGACCAGATTCCCATCAGCCCCAGCATGGTCAATGGTCAGGGATGACCAGAGGTGGGAATCCAGCCCAAGGGCAACACATTAGCTACCTCTGTACTAAAGTATTGGGATCTGGTGTATTCCTATTGAAATCATGGCATCAGAGCCAGAAGGGACCCCATGTTGTTGTTGTTGTTTAGTCGTTTAGTCGTGTCCGACTCTTTGTGACCCCATGGACCACAGCACGCCAAGCACTCCTGTCTTCCACTGCCTCCTGCAGTTTGGTCAGACTCATGCTGGTAGCTTCGAGAACACTGTCCAACCATCTCGTCCTCTGTCGTCCCCTTCTCCTTGTGCCCTCCATCTTTCCCAGCATCAGGGTCTTTTCCAGGGAGTCTTCTCTTCTCATGAGGTGGGCAAAGTATTGGAGTCTCAGCTTCAGGATCTGTCCTTCCAGTGAGTACTCAGGGCTGATTTCCTTAAGAATGGATAGGTTTGATCTTCTTGCAGACCATGGGACTCTCAAGAGTCTCCTCCAGCACCATAATTCAAAAGCATCAATTCTTTGGCGATCAGCCTTCTTTATGGTCCAGAAGGGACCCCATGGAAACTACTAAACTTCTAAACTAGCTGAGGTCCATCACCTTCTCAAAATCAGATGCATAAAGTAACTTTAAATTTATCAAATAGGCAAAATGCTACTTTTGTGCTTATACTACTACAGAAGCACTGAATCATATTTGTGTGTGTGTTATTTTAATCTTGTACATGCCAGTGCAAATGCACACATATGCACACTACAGAGCAACTCGGGGGTCCACTTGACCCAAAGAGTAAATCTTACCTGAGAGGTTTAATTCCACTCCATGTTAACACAGGTGTTATTATTCTCATAATACAAACCTTCAACACTGATTTCAGCCTTTATTAGGGTGCTGGGATAGACAGTACCACCTCAATTATCTACCATGTGCCCCATTTTTCACCTATATGATTTTATGTACCTGCTTTGTTTTTGTTTTTTCTCTTCTGTTATGAGCTCCCTGATTTACGTATAGAGTTTCCTGTTCTATAGTTCTGTGTTTCTTTCAGAACAAGTGGATTGAAGTATAAAGTTTTAAATCAAAGACACAGTATGTACCATATGCCATCTCAGTCAGAAGTAGATGCCAGCTGCTTTGACAGACACATGTGTCCAGAATCTTGGGATTGCAGCACAAGCATCAGCTTTTAGCCTCTCCTGCAGTCAGCAGGATTTATCTCCAATCTACGTTTTCCTGTCACAATCCCAAGTATTCTCTCTCTCTTAAGCTATTACATCTCACCAACACTTCCTGTGACTATCAGGACAAGGTCCATGTGCTTGGCTGGTCTTTTCAGTCAGCCCCTTAAGAGGAAGTCCACTGTGTTACAGTCTACAAGCCCATGGAACCCTGCTATTTCACACAGAACTGGCAGAAAAAGTCACAAGCAAATAACAGCTGAAGCTAGAAAAATATTGCTTTGAAAACACTCTTCTCACATCAATGAGACTTTCCTTGCAAACATAAAAAATGTCATAAATCCTTTCAAACACTGAAATGAACTCAAGATGGGTTTCAAGAGAGTTACTGGGTAAACTGGCCGTTATCTTCTTTTTTTAAAAAAAATAAATTATTTTCCAAAAAATTTTAGACAAACAAACAAACATATATCTTAACTATACTTAATCCAATCTTAATAACATTGTTAAGTGACTTCCTCGAATCCCCCTGGCTGAGAATATCATTGTAACAGTTTTCCAAAACCAATTTTCTCATAAAATTAACTTAATCACTTAACATCTTTCTTTCTTTCTTTCCATTTTATCTTTAAACATATTATTCTCTAACATTACATATTTAAATCCTAAGCCTATCTGGTATTTGCAAGTTTTTCCTATTAAATTATCTTAACATATTTAACTAAATAGTCTTTGAATTTCATCCATTCCTCCTGGTACTCCTCCTCCTTCTGGTCGCGGACTCTTCCAGTCATGTCGACTAGCTCATCTTCATCTGCCATTCCTCCACTGCTGGGACTTCTTGTGTTTTCCAATTCTTAGCTAACAAAATTCTAGCTGCAGTTGTGGCATACAAAAACAATCTAACATCTTTCTTGGGCAATTCCAAACCTGTTATTCCAAGAAGAAAGGCCTCTGGTTTCTTAATAAATGTATATTTCAACATTTTTTTCATTTCATTATAAATCTTCTCCCAGAAGTCTTTCACCTTGGGGCAGCTCCACCACATATGATAAAAGGTACCTTCTTTTTCTTTATATTTTCAGCATAAATTATCACTATTATGATATATCTTTGCAATTTTACAGGGGTTAAGTACCATCTATACATCATTTTCATAATATTTTCCTTTAACACCGTACAAGCAGTGAACTTGACCCCTTTCCTCCACAATCTCTCCCAATCTTCAAACAACTGGCCGTTATTCATGCTTTCATTCAACTAGTTATCTCAAAACCATTGCTACCGTACTGGTTCACATAAACCCTAGACCACAAAGAAATGTGATTGTCTATTCTCTACTTGTTTCTTTGCCCCCACCCTAATCTTTGATAGAATAAACCTTAGACTTAATTTGCTGTGCATCGTCATTTATTTATCTAATGTGCAAAGAAGCCATTATGAAAATATTTTCATCTGTTAATTTTGTAACTTACCCTTTTCCTTCAACTATTGCTTCCTTAAGCTGTATATAGGAGGAGGGAAATATGCCCTTAAACAAGAAAAATAAATGTATTATTGCTGGGGGAGGGGGTTCTGAATGATCAATAAAGTTCAGAATTACATTTCATTAAATATTACATAGTTATACATCCCTGAAAGATGATTTATAATTATAAGAACAAGCCTGGGCAAGCCAGGGGGAGGAGGAATTCAGAAGTATTTACTTTCATTTTATACTAACCAGACGAGGTTAGCATTGTACGTGAACCCAACTAACTAGTTTAATAACAGTTACTTGAAACAAACCTGTTTTAAATCATGGGGCATTTCAATTAACAACAGCTTGAGGTTAGGACAGAATGCTGAACTGTCGTTAACTGAAATCTAAACCAAAAGCTTCTGATATTTTCACTGGAGGACCATTATTAGAAGAGCAGAGGGGAAGTAGGATGGTACATATATTGATCAGTGGTGGACCTTAGGGTCTCAAATTCCAGCAGAGGCCTGTGTGATGCCAAAATTCAATGCCTGCTACCCCACTGCTCATGCGGCATTCTAAATACAGTGATACCTCAATTTACGAACTTAATCCATTCCGGAAGTCCGTTCTTAAACCAAAACCGTTCTCAAACTGAGGCGCACTTTCCCTAATGAGGCCTCCCGCCGCCGGTGCCCTTCCACTGTTTGGATTCCTTCTTAGACCAAGGTAAAGTTCTCAAACCAAGACACTATTTCCGGTTTTGCGGAGTTTGTGAACCAAATCATTCTTAAACCGGACTGTTCTTAAACTGAGGTACCACTGTAATAGAAGTAAAATGAAGTACAGTGGAACCTTGGGTTGCGGACGTAATCCGTGACGGAGGCACGTCCGCAACCTGCAGCATTTGCATCCTGAAGCGCCGCATCTGTGCCGGTGCCAGTGCTATTTGGCACTTCTGCGCATGCGCAAAGCGCAAAGAACAGACCTCCAGAACGAATTAAGTTCTTAACCCGAGGTACCACTGTACCGCCTAGGTCAGCCAACAAGGTGAGTTCAGCTGACAGGATTCCTATAAACTGCCCACTTACATTTTAATACCTATGGAGTTTCTTGAAAGAGAAGCTACTGAAACTCAATTTTAATATTAATTAAAATTAAAATTCACAACCAGCAAGTTATAAACTATTCCTCTTACCAACCTAAAGTGGTACCTCGTGTTAAAAACTTAATTTGTTCTGGAGGCCCGTTCTTAACCTGAAGCACCACTTTAGCTAATGGGGCCTCGCCGCCGCCACGCGATTTCTGTTCTCATCCTGAAGCAAAGTTCTTAACCCAAGGTAATATTTCTGGGTTAGCAGAGTCTGTAACCTGAAGCGTATGTAACCTGAGGTACCACCGCAATTCTATAAACAAAATATGTAAGTATGTGTGAAGGCTAACCACCACCCATTTTTGTAGTGAAAGACAGAAAATATCACAAAGCTACTTATTGTTTTTCAAAAAGCAAATTCTATTTCGGAGCAACCCATTATTTTAACAGCATTATCCACAAACTTTTTTCTAATTTACCTTTCAGTAAAAAGTTTCGAAAGGAAATAGAATATCTTAAGTAGTTACTATGAAAAACCTAAACCATCAGACACAAAAAAAGGAATCTGCTACTATGGAAACGAAATACTTACTTTTTTGGATTTTTTCCTTAAAGTATAACCTCTGTACCAACCTAGAAGAAAAGATTTCTTAATAAACTTTTATAAACTAATTGGTAGACAACATATACCCACAATCCACACACATCTTCATACAATTCTTTGTAATACATGGTATACAATTTATATACAATTCATTGTATATATTACAATTCATAAATGGCATCAATCCCACATAACCAGTCCTTCAAAAGTGGTATACAACCGTGATAGCCACCCATGGTGCAATTAGCATGTCAGTTTTTCAATCCACAAATCGCGTCTTCCTCTTTTATAACAGTGAATTTGAATGCTTGGTCCCAAGTAGTTTAGTGGCTCAAATGCCAGTACCAGCACTCTGAACTTGACTCAGAAGTGAATAAACAGCCAGTGCAGCTGATGCAGAACTGGAGTAAAATGGTACAAAGGCTTTGACCCAACAAACATCCAGGCTGCTGCATTCTGCACTAGCTGACACATCCAAAACAGCCTTCAAAGGAAGCCACACAAAAAGCACATTACTATAATAATATAATATAATTTGTTATTTATACCCCACCCACCTGGCTGGGTTTCCCCAGCCACTCTGGGCGACTCCCAATAGAATATTAAAAACACGAGAAAACCTCAAACATTAAAAACTTTCCTAAACAGGGCTGCCTTCAGGTGTTTTCTAAAAGTCAGGTAGTTTAACCTGGTATAACCACAGGATAACCAGAATACTGTATACAGTCCTACATATGGCCGCATCATATACTTATATAAGTGGCATTGCAATACCCACCATCTACCAGAAGTATAAAAGAATGCTTTTCACCTGACCATATATGTATGGTCAGTCCAGTGGTCTGATTACTAGCACTAAAAACAGCTTGAAACATCCAGTCATTAGTGTTTATGCATTTAAAAATGACTTTTATCTGCCTTGAGCCTTCTGATGGTGATTGGTGGCCAATCCCAGTGAACAGAGCATGGAGTTGCCACATTGCTGCATGCAAGACTCTACTATGCACCTGGTGTAGACATTTCTGAAAGCAGCTTAAATATTTGCTGCTCATGGAAGTGGTCTGTTTGTGTGAGTAGTGCAATGTGTGATATGCACAGATGTTCATGTTTCCAGTCCTGTGATTTAGAAAAACCAATAAACCACCACCATTAGCCATTTTGTGTGCTTAATCTAGCTGCTGCTGCTACTACTACTACTACTACTACTACTACTACTACTATTTCTACATAAATCTGTATGCCGCCCTAGACCTGTAGATCTCAGGGCAGTTCACAACATAAAATTACATTTTTTTTAAAAACACACACAAAAGTACACTATAAAAATAAGGACAAATAAACCAATAATCCTCCCTTCCACAACACGTATAAAAGGGCATCGGATGTCCATCAGCCCAAGTCCTGTTTAAAGAGGAACGCTTTCGCCTGGCGCCTAAAAGTGTATAATGAAGGTGCCAACTAAACCTCCCTGGGGAGAGCATTCCACAAATGGGAAACCACCACAGAGAAGGCCCATTCTCATGTTGCCACTCTCTGGACCTCTCGTGGAGGAGGCACATGAAGAAAGGCCTCAGAGGATGATCAAAGGATCCAGGTCAGTTCATATGGAGAGAGGCGGTCCTTGAGGTATTGCGGTCCTGCACTGTTTAAGGCTTTATATACAATCATGTATATATTGGCTTTTCTGTGAATGGGTGCAATAAAAAATTCTTTCAACCCTACAGGGCAGCCTTTCCCACGCCTGTGTCTTCAGATCTTTGTTGGACTACAACTCCCATCATCCACGACCAGTGATGCTGCCATCAGGATGATGGGAGCTGTCTCTGCCTCTCCCCCCCCCCCCCCACACTTTTTATCCTGCAGTCCTTTTGACTGTGAAACAGCCTGGTGGGCAGGAAAGAAGAGATCCTATATCCTTTCTCAGGTATATGTGAGTAATTAGCTGAGGCAGACAGCCCCTCTACATAGCCTGCACAAAAGCATGGTTTTAATGGGAGGAAATTAGCGGTGTAGATACATAATGAAACAGAGTAGTCGTTTTTTATAATCTTTGTTGTAAAATTTGTCTGTAGCCTCTCCAGAGGATCAGTGGGTGGGGGAAAGGACCCATATTTACTGAGAATGACAGACAGAGCAGTTTACAATGCAGGTTTGCTTGCCAGTTTTGTGCTGAATTGGTTAGAGTTTGTATGGAAGATTCCGCCCAATTTGGCGCAGTGCTATCACTCTTTTTGAATGACTATTATGTGTGATTGGTGTTTTTTGTTTTTTGTTTTTTTGATTAAACAGTCACACTAAACCAGAATAGGCTTGGTAGCAATAAAAGCACATAATGCTGATCGCTTGCAGATGTGTTGTGGATCGGGGGGGGGGGGGGGCAGAGTGAACGAGAAATTACCTCTTTGTTTCCCTGCAATGACATCCTGCCTCCACAAATGTGAGAGATGTTTTGATGGGCTGAAATAATTATACTACAATGGGGAAGATTTGTAAAGCTAGATGAAGAAGGGGGAGATGTGCTTATGGCACCTTTACTCCCAAGTGCTTTGGAGAAGGGACATTTGCACTGCTGTAAAGATAAAGGGACCCCTGACCATTAGGTCCAGTCGTGACCGACTCTGGCGTTGCGGCGCTCATCTCGCTTTATTGGCCGAGGGAGCCGGCATACAGCTTCCGGGTCATGTGGCCAGCATGACTAAGCCGCTTCTGGCAAACCAGAGCAGCGCACGGAAATGCCGTTTACCTTCCCGCCGGAGCGGTACCTATTTATCTACTTGCACTTTGACGTGCTTTCAAACTGCTAGGTTGACAGGAGCAGGAACCGAGCAACGGGAGCTCATCCCGTCGTGGGGATTCGAACTGCCGACCTTCTGATCGGCAAGCCCTAGGCTCTGTGGTTTAACCCACAGCACCACCCACTGTAGGCAATACAAAAGAAAAACACCCAACCAACAAAAACAAAAACCAACTTGATAAAATCTACTAACTTAAATATACCCATCCAGTCATCAGCAAATATATTTGTTTCAGTTCCTATCTGTGATGCTAATCAGACAAACAGGTTTATCTGCTCTACCTGTGTTATAAGGCACATAAAGGTGTAGAAAGTGCTGCCGGGTGCAGCTCATCAAAAGTAGAAGAAGAGGAGGAGTTTCGATTTGATATCCCGCTTTATCACTACCCTAAGGAGTCTCAAAGCGGCTAACAATCTCCTTTCCCTTCCTCCCCCACAACAAACACTGTGAAGTGAGTGAGGCTGAGAGACTTCAGAGAAGTGTGACTAGCCCAAGGTCACCCAGCAGCTGCATGAGGAGAAGGAGGGAAGCAAACCCGGTTCACCAGATTATGAATCCACCACTCTTAACCACTACACCACGCTGGCTCTATAAAGTAGGTTTATAAGCATCTGTCTAGCTGTTGGAACCAAGAGCTGCTCTGCACTGAGGGTAACTAAGAAGAAAAGGGAGAGATATTGAGCTGCAAAAGAGCTTTTGTTTAGCAAAGGAGGTCTTGTTACCTTTCTTCTAGCAATACTTGCCCCACCAAGGATACCTTTCCCAGACAAACAAACAAAGGGTTACTCACTACATAGGGTCCCTATGTCTTCATTTAAACATCAAATCATAGTTTGAAGTTCTGATATAAGAGCAATCTATGTTTTAAGCAAGCCAGTGTTTGCTGCCTTCAGGTGCAACAGCCAACTGTGGTCAGTTTAGAAAATCTCTGGCACGGCTCTTCTCAGGTCCGCTTTCACAGTTAATGAAAAGCCAGAGATTGACATTAAGTCTGAACGAAGACTATACGTCAATAGTTGAATTTATGCTGCTTCTCTATTTGCATATTTCATTGCCATGAGGCAGCATGCAACAGCTAAGCCTGGCTTTTGAAAATCGCATAAAACAAATGAGGTAGAGAGAGCATGCCTTTCACCATCAAGTGTGGTAGAGACCCCTTACTGTGCATTTTATGCAAGTAGTCTTTCTAGGGTTGTAAAGTGTCACTTGGAACAGCCCAACTGCATCCTTCATTTGTATCTGAAAAGGTCAGAGGAAAAAAGCTAGAGGAAGAGGAAGCAAACATACATATTGATGAGAAAGAAAATAAGGTCTCAGTCCTGAAAGGAGAAGGCAGGGAGCGGGGGAAGGGAGCGAATCAATAAAACTTATGCACCTGCAACTGTTAAGCAGCTGTGGTGTTTACTATTTACATCCAGGGGATTGAAAGCAGATCAAATATAAAGTCAGACAAGGAATGCTGAACGGTAGATAGAAATAAACACAGTAAATTCTTACTTTAGTTGTTCAAATGTCAGACAAGGACTGTGGAGACTTGGTTCAAAACTGAACTCCGCTATGAAGCTTACTGGGTTGCCTTGGGCCAATCACTCTCAGCCTAACTTACCTCACAGACTTCTGTGGGGATAAAACGGCAAGAATCCTGCCTTAAGCATCTTGGGGGAAAGGTGTGATATACATACAAAATAAATATTAATAAAGGATTATATAGGTCAAGGACAACCTTCAAATATTTGGGGGGAAGAGGAGATTATATACATATCGCTGTATATAAAAACTAATACTTCTTTAAATCCACTTCTTAAGAAACGTTCCCTGAATTCGGAAAACCTAATTAACTACAGGCCAGTTGCAAGGTTCTAGAGCAAATGGTCGCAGACCAAATCCAGGCACTTTTGGAAGAAACTGATTTTCTGGATCCGTTTCAATCAGGGTTTAGGCCCAGTTTTGGCACAGAAACTGCTTTGGTAGCACTGTATGATCTCAGTCGAGAGAGAGAGAGACAAAAGGGAAACATGTCCCTGTTAATTCTCCACCTCTCAGCGGCTTTCCATACCATCGACCATGGTATTCTTCTCAAGCAACTGTCCAAACTAGGGGTGTGTGGCACCGCTTTGCGTCATTCCCAGAGGGTGTTGCTTGGGGAATGCTTTTCAACCCCATGGAGCCTTCAATGTGGGGTTCCACAGGACTCAATCCTATCCCCTATGTTGTTTAACATCTACATGAAACCACTGGGTGGGGTTATCTGAAGGTTTGGAGTACACTGTCAGCAGTATGCTGACATCACTCAGCTCTATTTCTCCTTTACATCTGCAGGTGAGGCAGTGGAAGTGCTGGACCAATGTCTTGCCTCGGTAATGGACTGGATGAGAGCCAACAAACTGAAGCTCAATCCAGATAAGACTGAGGCACTGTTAGTGGGTGGTTCCCTAGACCAGATGGGTAGAAGATCGCCTGCTCTTGATGGGGTTACACTTCCTCTGAAGGAGCAGCTTTGTAGCTTGGGGGTACTCCTGGATCCTTTGTTGTCGCTCAAGGCTCAGGTGAAGAAGAAGAAGAAGAAGAAGAAGAAGAGTTTGGATTTGATATCCCGCTTTATCACTACCCAAAGGAGTCTCAAAGCGGCTAACAATCTCCTTTCTCTTTCTTCCCCACAACAAACACTCTGTGAGGTGAGTGGGGCTGAGAGACTTCAAAGAAGTGTGACTAGCCCAAGGTCACCCAGCAGCTGCATGTGGAGAAGTGGAGACCCGAACCCAGTTCACCAGATTAGAGTGCCTTCCATCAGCTTCGGTTGGTGGCCCAGCTATTCCCCTATCTGGACAGGGATAGCCTAAATAATGTTGTCTATGCTCTGGTAACCTCAAAGTTAGATGACTGCAATGCATTATACATAGGGCTGCCTCTGAAGACAGTTCAGAAACTGCAGCTAGTGCAGAATTCAGTGGCCAGGTTGCTCACCAGAGCAAGACAGCTTGAGCATATTACAGCGATCTTGGTCAGACTGCACTGGCTACCAATTAGTTTCTGGGCCGAATTCAAAGTGCTGGTTTTGACCTATAAAGCCTTGAACAGCTCAGGACCGCAATACCTCAAGGTATACCTCTTTCCATATGAACCTACCCAGATCCTGAGATCATCTTCTGAGGCCCTTCTTCATGTGCCTCCTCCTCGAGAGGTCCGGAGGATGGCAACACGAGAACGGGCCTTCTCTGCAGTGGCTCCCTGTCTGTGGAATTTTCTCCCCAGGGAAGTTTGCCTGGTATCTTCATTATGCACCTTTAAGCACCAGGCAAAAACGTTCCATTTTAACCATGCCTTTGGTTGATTTGATTGACATCCTATGCCCTTTTAAATTGTGGGGGGTTTTGGGGGGGTGTTACTGGGTTGTTGTTGTTGTTTTGATTATGGATTTTGTGGTTTTATATCTTGATTTTATTCCGTAAACCGCCCTGAGACCAGGGGGTATAGTACAGTGTATAAATTCAATACATAATACATAATAATAATAATTAACTTCATTTTGAAAGGGACGCAAATAAAATATTGGGGGTTTTTTTAGGACAGACCACACAGCAGAGACTTACAGTTTAGAAGATAAGTATCTTTTATATTTCAGCATTCAAGATTAACTCCTTTTAAAAGGACCTTGTATATTATCTGAAGTCTGAGGGTTTCTTAGGGATATCTTACCATTCTAACTGCTCAACAGATGCTACTAGAGATCCATACAAATTAAGCTGCACAAATATCAATCTTTGGGGGGGGGGGTTGAGGGGGAGGGAGGGAAAAAGAAAAATTTGCATCTTAGAAAGGTTATTCTTCAGCTATCACAAGCCTGCTCGTTTAATGTGCAGTAACTGTTAATTCTTTGGCCATTTAAATACTTCAATATTTCATTAGGTTTCAAAATAGAACTCATCTGCTAAAACAGGCAGGCACATAAAACCCAAACGCTGACAGTCATGACGGGAAGAAGAATGGTTACGGAAGAAACATTTGTTCCACTTGCCTTCATGTGTCTCCAATATGTGGACGGTGTCTCCTATTTGTAAAGACAGCTCGTCTGGGCCCCTGGCATCATAGTTGTAGAATGCTAGAGGGAGGGAAAAATCAAGTTTTTAGCATCAAAAATGCTGCCAAAAGAAACCCACCAGCTAATTAGAAATTTTTTTAAAAAGTAACAGTTCAGTATTATTTTGTTGGCATAGCTGAAACCACTATCTGTGTATAAGAAGCCCCCCTGGAATTTAACCAGTGTAACTGCAGGTATCACCACTTTTCATTAAAAAAAAATGATCACAAAGCAATTATGGATTGAATAAGCAGCATCTTCTCCCACATGTTTCTCCAAGAGAGGCTCATTCTATGTATTTGTCCTACGCTCTGAAACTTTGCGACGGAACACAGGATCATACAGAAAGAAGGAATGCTAAATGTATAAACCGGTCCTGTATTATTTATTCATTATTTACATTTTTTTTAAATGTGTATCTTACTTCTCCAACTTGTATCATGATGCTCAAGGTGACAAAGACCAACAAAAATTAAAACCACCATACAAAATGTTAAATATGAAAAACAAGTTACATAGCATCGTAAGTTTAAATTGTCAACAAGCATTGAGCAAGGAAAAGAATGGAAGTATTTAAGAGCCGGTCGTCACAAGTACTCCAAAACAAGAACATCTGTCCTGTGCCTAATGTCTTTAATTAAAGGACTGATCTGAAAGGAAGTTCCAGAAGCTCAACACCATAGAAGAGAAGGTTCTCTTCCACTAACCACAGCACTGATGGCAATGAGATGCAGGCCAGAGCTTCTGACAAACGTGAGTGGATATGCAGGATCATATATGAGCTGCCGTTTTTAATATTATAATTACTTATAATTGTTTTATTGTGCATTTCTCAATATTATACAACTCTTAATGGCCAATGCATTATAATTGTGATATTCTTATCTGCAAGTGTGATGTTCTATTGTCACATTTATTACTGTTATTTATTGTTTTGTAAACCACTTTGGGATACACTTCAATGGAAAGCAGCACAGAAACTCAGTCAAAATGGTTGTAAGATTTGATACGTGCCCTAGCAAGGGCGTGAATGGAGCAGACAGGGTGCAAAGAGGAGAAAATGGGAGTTTTTAAAAACCTAAAACAGTTTTCTTTTTGTCCACACACACTTCCTCGGGAACAGGTGCAGTTGGTGTGTCAACCTAAGCTGTGCAAGAGCATTTCTCTGTTGCTCATTTTATCTTACTCGGCAAGCTACAAGATTTCTAAATGTTGCTATTTTCCTTAAATAACCAATGATTGTTTCGCCATTTCTCTTTCCACCTTGTTATGCATTCTATATTCTGCTACTTTTTATTTGTACTCAGTGGGCCATAAGTAAAATAATATTGGAGCATGCCTAGCCACAGCTATCACATCCTGACTGCTTAAGAGTAGAACAAAATCCAGGAGCACTCAAAAGCTATGAACCTAATAAATTCAGAAGGAATGTAAGTCCATCCAAAAGAGGGATCCAACCTAATCTAAGGATCAGCAGCCCTGTTGAACAGAAACACTTCTGTCTTCTGTCTATTAAGTCTCAATCTGGTAGTTTACATTGAGATGTAGAATACTGACATCAAGCATCAGTTCATACTGGCTTGCTACGCAAGACAGAACCAATAATAAACAGTTGTTCCGCCCAATTAAACAGATTCAAGTTTATTTATTAAATAGAATATCCAAAGAGAAATTAAAGAACAAACAAGATGCATGAGTCTGCTCTTCGAAAAGGAAAGACCAAAATACCCAGTAGATTTAAAACCATATAATGGACAGCTTTTGACAGCATTCATCTTCATATCGTTAACAGTGTTTTGGTTTTATATATATATATATATATATATATATATATATATATATATATATAGCTACATCAGCATTTTCTTCTAGTCGTTCTCTTTCGTTCTCTTATAATCTCACAGAATTTCATGAGAAGTGTGGCCTTGCCAACACAGCTCTAAATTAACATTTGAAATGGCACTATCTTTCTTTAAGAAAAAAGAAAATAACACCCACTCTTCTTGGGACATGTATAGGAGACACACAAATTGCTACAGATGCATTTTTCAACTGACTCACTTCCTTGTTTACACACACTTTACTGCAAATTTCAGAACACAGATATTTGCAAGAAACAGCCTAAAAGTTTGTGTGCTGGAGAAGAGAAGGGGGAAATAGGAGACATCAGCACTATATTAGAGGAGCTGGGAAACTGTGGGGTGGGAGATTTCAATGCTGCTATAGAACCATCATAAAAATAAAACTGCTAACTGATCTACCATGCAATTCTATACAAATGTAGTAAGCCCCACTGGTACTTATTTTCCCATATACTTCAGCAATTCATATTGTAAACCAAGGATCTTTAACCTATGACCCTCCAGATGTTGTTCAACTCCCATCAGCCCCAGCTAGAATGGCCAATGCTACAGGCTGATGGGAGCTGTAGTCCCACATCATCGGGGGGGGGGGGTCACAGGTTAGCCACCACTGATACAAACCATGTAAACTTTGCACATAGTTTACATATGCACATTGTACTTCTGCTGCAATTATAATCATTAGAAGTACGGTAATTATTTTTACTATTAAAGACAATATCTTTTTCTCCCATTGGAAATAAAGAAACCTAATATTAAAATACAGCATTCAAAGAAAAAAACACCATACTGTAATGGCTCTTCAGCAGTTATTCTAAAACACAAAAATAAAAGTAAGTGTTCTGTCACTTCTGGAAGAAGAAAACAAGAGCACTGGATATAACCTAACCCAAGGTTTCCCATGGGACGCGGGTGGCGCTGTGGGTTAAACCACAGAGCCTAGGACTTGCCGATCAGAAGGTCGGCAGTTCGAATCCCCGCGTTGGGGTGAGCTCCCGTTGCTCGGTCCCTGCTCCTGCCAACCTAGCAGTTCGAAAGCACATCAAAGTGCAAGTAGATAAATAGGTACCGCTCCAGCGGGAAGGTAAACGGCGTTTCCGTGCACTGCTCTGGTTCGCCAGAAGCGGGTTAGTCGTGCTGGCCACATGACCTGGAAGCTGTACGCCGGCTCCTTCGGCCAATAAAGCGAGATGAGCACCGCAGCCCCAGAGTCGGCCACGACTGGACCTAATGGTCAGGGGTCCCTTTACCTTTAAGGTTTCCCATACTTGGGTCTCCAGCAGTTTTTGGACTACAGCTTCTATCATCCCTAGATAGCTGGACCAGTGGTCAAGGATGATGGGAATTGCAGTCCAAAAGCTGCTTGAGACCCAGGTTTGGGAAACCCTGATCTAACACAGTTAAGAAATTCTGTGCTTGGAGGCACAATACAGACCAACCTTTGGCCAAATTTATTTGACAAAGCACTTGAAAGGGGAGATTAATACAGCCTCTCTCTGCTGACTGCTTATTTTATTTATGTTTAAAAATTATAGACTGTTTTTCACTAGGTTTTTTTAAATGAAATGACAGGCCATCTGTGTTTTTTAAACATTTGTTACCATACTACTGTATAAAAGCGACTTACAGGGCAATCCTAAACTTGTCTACTCATCAGAAGCAAGTCTCACTTTCAGTGGGCTTTCTCCCAACAAAGCATGCCCAGGAATGTAGCTTTGGTTCTCTCTACTCTTAGCCATAGATACAACAACAAAGGACCAATGGAAGAGGGAATTCAGATGTATTTATAGTCCATACATAAACTTTGCTTCTAAGTCCACAGGTTTGGTACCACCAATTTATCCAAAAATAAACTCATGTGATATAAATATATGGAGTTGCCCACAAGCCTTTCATTTCCAAATCACAGCCCACTACTAAGTAACATATAATAAAGGCAGCAGAGCAGAAGCAAATTGCACTGGCCTGCAGAACAGCGCTACTCAAAGTGTCGGCCCGGAAACCAGCGATAGCCAATGAGCTGCCAGTTCACAGTGACTCCACCACAACCCAGGTTGGGTGGGATGCTTGAGGGACCCAACACGGTACCAGTCCCTGGCACATGGGGCAGGGGGAGGAATTGCCAGCCCACAACATCAGATAGTTTGAGAAGCACTGCTGCAGAGCACAATACAGTGGTACCTCGGGTTAAGTACTTAATTCGTTCCGGAGGTCCGTACTTAACCTGAAACTGTTCTTAACCTGAAGCACCACTTTAGCTAATGGGGCCTCCTGCTGCCGCTGTGCCACCGGAGCCCGATTTCTGTTCTTATCCTGAAGCAAAGTTCTTAACCTGAAGCACTATTTCTGGGTTAGTGGAGTGTGTAACCTGAAGCGTATGTAACCTGAAGCGTATGTAACCCGAGGTACCACTGTACTAGCACTCACAAGCCCACATGTAACTGTCCCCAATTCTGATTCAACACTCAATCTACAAAACTATGAGAAAGAATGCTAGTAAGTTCATGGCAGTTTGATGCAGACACTCATTACAGCACTTTGCTCTTCTGACAGACAACTCCTTAAATACAATAAACCAAACAGCAATCAGATCAGAGCTGTCAGTCACTATCCGTGCTGAACTCTTGATGAATTAGGAACATTGATCTAAGGAACTCTGCAATGGGATTTTAATTAAAAGTCTTTTTTAAAGCCAACTTGTGAGAGATATGACTGGGAACATACAAAGCTCAGCAAAGTGTTTTTTGTTTTTTTTACTTGAAGCAGTCCCAAAAGAGAGAATAAAGCAGAAAATCTAATTCTCTTTGGGAAGGGAAATTGCAACTGCAACTGCAACCATTTATAAGAGCAGTGCTGATTTATAATAAAGGTACAAACCCCATGTAATCTAAAGTACACTGTGAAGAACCACATGCAAAAGCCTACACCAAATACCATTGTGGGGGGGCCTTGCACAGAAAGCTGCATCAAGAGGTGAGTCTGATTTGATATTTTTAATAATCATAATCATAAGGTTGTTTTACAGCAGAAATATTTGTTGAATTTCTTTTGAGTATTTTGTACCCCACTCCAGTCTCCAAAGAGGCTCCCAGATTGCGAAGTGTTGGGGGTTTTTTTAAAAGAAAAACCAACAACATGGAAAACATAAAAAAATAAGAACATCACAACTTTAGCATGTTCAATATTAAAACAAGCAGAGATCAAGAACAAAGCAGGAGATATAAAAAGCCTAGGCAAATGAAAATGTCTTAAACAGACTCCAAAAAGATTTGGGGGCAGCATCCTAGAGCCAGGTAGCCACAGTTTAAAAGATCCTATCTACTTATTACTAGTGACGTGCCTCACCTTAAAGGCAAGGAAATCCAGAGGAAGATCCTAACGTTCTGGCAGTTCCAACTGGAATTGGCAATCCTTCAGTTAACCTCCCATTTACTCCCATTTTTAACCTATCCTACAATCTTAAATCACATCCAGGAAGCACTAGTAATAGCCTCTGTGCCAGAGATGGAATGCTAGCAAATAGTCCCTGAGGGACCCAACATAGGATAGCAAGCCTAAAGAGGACCCCCAAGTTGGTTGGTGTTTAAAATCACAATGTAGGAACTCTTTGGAGACTCATATGCCAGTGACAAAGGTGTCTTCTGGCACTTCACATTTCTTTAACTTGTTTATGAGTAAGTCATGTGAAACAATGTGATACTGGAATCTAGGTATGTCACAGCTGCAGTCTTTCTCTCCCCCCACCCACCCACCCTTTCACTCAAGCATCTTATGTATACAGCAGAGCTTTCCAAACTGTGTGTCGTGACACGTTAGTTTGTTGGCTGTAGTGTGTAGGTATGTCGCACGAACGATCCCCACACTCCTTCCGGAGCTGGAAAGGGGTTAGTTTAACCTCCGCTTTGCTAGTAAAACTGAATTACTGTGTCACAACATGATGCATGTCTAGAAAGTGTGTCACCAACATGAAAAGTCTGGAAAACTACGGTATACGCCTAGTTTTTTCTTCTTCTGTAGTCTATTGCAATCATTCATAGCACAAATAATAAGACAGCGGTTCAAATGCATTTCCATTATGTGAAGCGTGAAAGCAGCCAGACATATTTGCTCCATTAATACCCTTTCTGGTATTGGTATGGATGCTAGATTGAATGACGTATAGTTCTTCGGATTAAAGAGATAATGGTTAATGGGTGAACCAAGTATGGGACTAAGATCATTGCTTACACTATGCTACACTAGCTCTCTTGGGCTTATCAAGTTAACTGAACTCATTTGTCTTGTTAATTTGTCCCTTCCCTTTTGGGAGTTAACGTAAACATACCATACTCTGTCCACAAATGAAGACCAAGAGGAAATATAAGGCATCAGTTTGTTTGTCCTAGACAAGAGACAAGATTCTCCCTGATATTCCAACATTCACCCCTGAAAGATCAGAGCAGTACCCAAGATCTTAATGAAACGAAAGCATTTCCAAAGTTGAGCAATATTTCTACTGGTAATAGTGATCCACATATAGGTTCTAAAACCACAGTGAACAACAGTTAACAAGCCTCTAGCTTTCTGCTGAAATTATAAAACAACATGTTGTGTTCAAATCGCTCCTCACCATTTTTAGAAATCTTTTCACATGCCTGAATGTCATTCTGTGCTACAGAAGCTATGGGAATTGAGTATTTATCACATCACTCCAAGTTGTGCCTCCTCCAGCTCATTATGCTTTCTTTGTGGTCCTGCTTATTTTAACAATCTAGTAGAGATAAGCCATGGGGCTTACAAATGAAATGAAAGAACAAGAAGCTTTCACACACAAACAGGCATCTCCCAATACATGAAAATTCAGCACAATATTGCCCCTGATTAAGAAGATACGATGTCACTGCAAACTTGTGAAGCAATTTACTGCATGCCGTACAGTGCGATGTCTTAAAACAAACAGAGATTAAATCGTAATTATTTCTTTAAAAGTTGAAAGGTGGATTATAAATCCATTAAATAATATGAACAAACAAAAAGCAAGCATCCTCCTTATGAATCTTTAAAAGTTGAACTGATATGTTCAGTCTTTGTTTGAGGTGGTCTAAACACAACATAGAATTAGTTGTTGTTTTTTCCAAAGAAAAGGACTCGTTTTTTTCAATAATCACATTAATCCAATACACACGCAGCACAGGACAGTAACCATAGCAAGATCTTATCTCTAGTACAGCATGTAATCAAATCCTGTTCCACACAATTTCATAAGGGTAGCAAAAAGAATGGCTACAAGCCTGAATGAATTTATAAAAAGGCCACCAACTTCCTTTATTCGGAGGGTGTCCTGTTCCACAGGTCCAAGACCAGTGGCGGGTGCACTGCCAAAGGAACTGTCCATAGAATGACATTCCGAACAACACAAACAGGAGCAGCAAGCAGCCCAGCTCTTTCAGGCACAAACTTTAAAAACTGAATGGTGTTGACAACACAGCAGGTGCAAGACACAGGTGACAAGATCGGAACAAGAAATCAATACACCTTGCTAAAGGCTTATCTCAGCCACTCACTGCCAAATTGACACTCTAAATGGGTTTGCACTTGTGTGACCACTAGAATTGGATTCAACAGTAGTCAATGATGCCTGAAATCAGTGAAAGTGGATAGGTCAATGTCAAGCTAGATATGCTTTGAGTCATAGCCACCACAATAAAAGCATGAATGTAATATATATATATATATGAATGAGAGAAACTGGGTTATTTGTAATTTTCCTTTATACAGAACATCTAGTATGTTAGCTAAGTTGAATTCGCATAATTTCTCTTCATGCCCACTGGTTTCTGCTTTCTAGACATCACCTGTACCGTGACAAATGGGTATAACAAATAATGCAAAAAATAATGGGTTTTGGGGGAATTGAAATGGGGTGCTTCCAAATTATGTTAAAAGCAGTCAGGCTCAAAAGGCCAGTACTAACAGATAAATAAAATAAAAATATTGATGAAAACTAAGGAGTGGGGTGGTCCTCAGATCGCTGTCTTCAAATACCGGAAGGGCCACTGCACAAAAGAAGGAGCAGGCTTATTCTCTGCTTGAGAGGGCAGAGCTGGAATGAATGGATGGAAATTGTAAAGAAGCAGATTTTGGTTAAAAGCTGACAGAAACTTCCTAAAGTACAAGGTGCCTGACAGCCAAACAGACAGTATTGGAAGATGTTGGGTTCTTCTTCCCTGGAAGTAGAGCTTAGAAGATTCCTGCACTGAGCAAAAGGGTGACCTAGATAAACTCCCAAGATCCCTACAAGCTCCAAAATTCTATACTTCTGCATGACATGCAAATTGTATATTATTGCATTTATATTCTACCATTCCTTCATGGAGCTCAAGATTGCGTACATGGTTCTCCCATTCCATCTTCCCAACAACCCTGTTAAGTAGGTTGGGCAGAGAGACAGTGAGTCGCCCAAGGTCAGTGGGGTCAAGTGGGGATTTGAACCTGAGTCTCCCAGGTCTTACTCTGGCACTTTTAACCAAAATTACCACTCTTACTCTATCATGTGGTCTGAGTAATTTACAGTGGTTTTGGTTTTTTTTCCAAATTCATACCATTCAGTCTTTAAGGACCTCTGTCTAAATAATTAAAGTGTACATGGTGAATTTAAATGACCTTTTGCAGAGATAGAAATTAAAACAAGAGAAAGGCCTATCCCCCCCCCCTTTAAGCACATCCACACACACACGGCAGAATGTAATTGCTAAATACTATTAAATACTTCTAGGTTCTAAACAAAGAGATGCTTCCTGTTCAAGAAAGTGCGTTGCATCCCTGGAATCAGTTACCATAACTATAGTTGTGCTAAGTCCCAATAAGTTCGTCTTTAGAAAATAGAAAGTGTCCAGTGCACCAAGTCTCCTGCTGTACAAGCATCTCTTCACCCCAACCATTGCAGAAGACACGGTTTTGTCATGAGCTCATCATATCTCTAGCACTGTGGTAGTGAACTCAACGAGCTAAGCTATATTATTGACTATTGCCCACCAACAGTTCACCACAGTCAAAGTTGTACCGTACCAAAGTACAATACCCACTTACCTAAACCTCAGTCTCAGCAAAACATTCAGTACCAAACAGAACTTATGCAACAAAGCAAAATGGAAGTCTCTGGAAAGTAAAAAATAAAGAAAAAATAAAAATGCACTCCTCCTATGTGTGAACATCTCTTCTACACTGACAAGTTCAACCCAGGGTCTTGCTTTGTGAAGGAGAAGAAGAAAGGAGGGTGTTCTAACTTTTATCTATCCTTAAAGTTCCCCAAGACCTGGAGGCTTGTAACAACCACTGTGGAGCAAAAGTCTGCTCCAGCAATTCCCCCAAGGCTCTCCCTTTCATTTAAGCCAATTGTCAGAGAGAAACTTTCTGCAAACAGCTGCAGTTTCTGCCACCAACATTTTCTCAGCCAGCTGCAGAATAAGGAATTATATTGCTCGCTTGCGAGATAGCATTTAACCCCTAGAAATGTAAGAAGACATTTGAACAACAGATGTTGTCAGTAAAGCATTAAAGGAGAGGGAAAAACCAAGGTGGGATTTTTCCCCCCCTGCAAAAACAAAACAAAAAAGTGGAAAATTGTTCACTCAAAATCAATAAGAAGTCACATGACTCAGCCTGCTTTCTCAACAGCAGAAGAATTGGCTTGGCTTGGCAACTAGCTCTAACAAAGAGCTACTGTACGCCTTAATCAGAGCTTCAGAGCACAGTTGCTCTATAGCAACCAGCTCTTTTCACATCCAGTGTGTTATCCATTTAAAGGGACTTCTTTTGCCATAGATACAATTCCCATTTTGGAGGAAACTGACAAGGAAGTCATGATTGATGGTTGACCACTCACTGAATACATCTTTCATGATCTTCCTTCCCCATAAAGCAAATACACACCCAGCCAACCTTCTGCACTTTGAAGCCCTACTGGTTTCAAATGCAGAAAGTTGAACACATAATCAAATACCGGCAGTGCTTAATTTCACAGGATCTTACTCACAGTAGCTAAAATATGCAATGCAACACAGTTAACTAAAACCATTTTGGAAGAAATCTTCCCCAGCCCCATTTTCCAACATGAGGCTACTCTGAAATGAAGGACTCAACGTTGTTGAGACTGGAGTAAAAAAGAAAAACAGCAAATGCCTGAGCTAAAATGGGTCACATCAGCAGCATCACTCGCCACAACAAAAATTCATAGTGAAAAATTAAGAGGCAATTCCACAAATGTACATTTGGGCTACCAGGCAGCCATGGGTCTGGGGGAAAAACGAAGATTACTAATTGGGCAGGGATATGGTCTGTGCTATTTATTTTATTTTAACTTATTTTCTTACATTTATATACTTTATCCCATCATGAAACTCAAGGCAGAAGGCATGTGGTTCCCAGGCAATTAGCTGTCTAGGAACTGAAAATATCCAAGACCTGCTTCGATTTAGCAAGGTAGCTGCTGGAGGTGCCTCCACACAATACCCTATTTTTTATGTAAGCAGAGATGCTGCAGATACATTTGAGTGCCCTGTACTACTATCAAGGAGACAGGAAAGGAGACTATCATTTCATGAGCTTTTTTTTCCTTCTTCAGTAGTTTTTTTTTTTTAAAGCAATTGGTGAAAATGCATTCCCACTACAAAAAAAGCCTCAGTCTTTGCTTTCACTTTTCCAACTTTTCCTTCCACCAAACATTTGCTATCAGCTGTGAGAAGACTGTAAAACAGCATTTCCCTAACATCTGTACTGCAGACTGATCACCCAAAGGTACCACACAAGCAGTGGGGCCTGAGAACTGGTTCCCTTTCTAAAAGCGTTTCCCAAGACCATTACAAGTTGTGGTATCTGCAACTCCACTGTGTAGTAATATTTTGTAAGTTTTGCATACACAGCAGCCAGCTTGTGCTTTAGGTGCAAGTATTCACCTAGTTAAAAACAAACTATACGATACTTCATCTTCAAGCACAAGAAAAAATGAATATTTCAGTATCAGTGGCTGTGTATCTCTCAGCACACCGAATATCAGCTGCTAGGAATCCAGAGTAGGAAAAGGCTATTGCACCCAAGCCCCACTTAAGAGCGGCATCTGGTTAGCCATAGGGAGCGAAGAATGCTAGCCTAGATAAGCCTTTGGCATGATCCAGCAGGGCTCCAGCTAGAAGCTCCAGTTGGCTGTGGGTGAGGGAAGTCAAGAAGTTGGGGAAGATTGCCTATCCCCTCTCTGGCGAGTTGCACAGCAATGCATCTGGCCATAAACCCAAAGTATCCCAGGGGAACTTTTCCAAGGGCCACTAATACTGTAGCTAACCTTGGAGAAAACTACATTTCCAATGGGTGCTTCCACCTGGTCTGGTGCACTGCTAAGCAGCATGTTAGATGGGAAAGGTAAAAGAAAGAGATTTTCCATTTCTCTCTTTGCAGCATGACAGCACCAAGGAAGTGGATTGCCAGCAGAATTCAGCTAACTGGGGTGGGGAAGGAGGACCCTAGTGTGTCCAAAAGGATGCTCAGTAACATTTTTCTGAGTCAGGCTGACACACGTTGGGAAGGGGTGGGGACTACTGGCAATTGTGTAAAATGGTCCACACAGTGCTTTGGAGTTGTGCTCTGCTGCCAAAGAAACTAAAGAGCTGAATCTAGCATTTCTCCTCTTCCACTCCAATAACAAACAGACCTGGAGATTTGCCTAAGTCAGCTTGAGCTATCTGCTCAGCAAGCACTTTGCTCCTGTCGTTCCATACAGCTTATTGCAGGTTTAGATTACTTGCAATTGAGGTGATATTTAAAGAATATTTCCTTTCAGATAATATTGAGCTTGCTTATACTCTTGTCTCTTTGCGGCCCTCTCATTTCCTGGACTCCACGCTGCTCTAACACCTGCTGACTTTGTCTGTTGGCCAGAAAGTTCCAGAATGGAGCAAATATTCGGGCAGTCTCAGCTGAGGACATTCCAGTCGCACCTGTGCGACATGCCCTGTTCTCTATGCTAGTGAAGAACCAGGGAGACTTCAGCCTTGAAGGATTCACTTTTTTTTAGTAGAACCTGAAGTCTGCCAACCAGAGCCAGGTGCAACATTGCGGTTTTATCTACTGCTTTCTGTGCCACATACCCAAATGAGCTGCATAAACAAGTACAAATCTACATCTCATTTACCAGAGATCAGGGAAACAAAACAGAAACAATAAATTATTTCCCCTAAAAGGAGTCGGGGGTTGTTGCTGCTACTCTTAGACAACTGGAATTGGAAGCCCCTTGTCAACTTACTGCACATCATATATTGATCTACTAGCAGATCCAAGCCTAACTTCTGCCTGCCCCTCTGCTAGCAGAACTGCTCATCATTCACTTCCTTGCTTGGAGTAAGCAGCAGTTGCCAGCAAGCAAGCTGGCAGAGAGAAGCATTTGATCCTCCCTCCAATACTTGTCAACTCCAGTATTAGAGCTGGGATGGTTGGGGCAGAGGGGGGGGAGAGATGCTGTAGGCACAGCATAGGTGTGCCCTAGGCATTTAACAACAAAGGATGCTGCCAGAAGAGAACTTACTTGCTTAGGGAAGCACACAGCGATGCTCTCAAAGCGCTTTCTAGTCAGAGAGGGTTGAGGAAAGAACTGTCATTTCCAAAAGTGCGCTACAACAGAGCCATGGCTGTAAGCAGGGGCGGGAGAGAATCTCTTTACAAGGCCCCAGTATGCTCTCAATAACTTGGTAAGGAGCAGATTAACACCCACAGAAGTACTGGGTAAAATTAGCGCACTTAAAACATATAGATTCCACTGCCTTTTACTGCAATAAAATGAGCGGGTGAGAATTTGCTTTTGGTAACGACATCCCTTTTGTAAAATTGCTTTTGCTATTTATCTGGTTGTGTGTGAATATTGTAAAACACAAATACCCTCTCCATGACTCCAAATCGCCATGCCAGCTGCATATATAATTGCCGAATGGCACCTAAAACCTAGGTTATGGTCACCACAACCGACTGACTGGTCGCCTTTCTTTCTTTTTTGGCAGTGCAATTTATCATCATCATCAATTTCATTTCTATGCCGCCTTATATGTTAAAAGAAAAAAATCTCAAAGCGGTTTACAACACACTAAAACATCAAATAAAACAATCTAGAATAGCATCAAGACATCTCCACAGATTGGCTTGCCAGCGGGCATGCAATAGATGGCGGGGCACTGGGGGTGGGGGGAACGTGCAGCAGCACAAAATTCTGTTGCGCACCAGACAAATGGTGGAGACGTCAGTCGCCAAACATGGCAAAAAGACATCTTCAGTTGGCCTCAACTGGACCTGCACCAGTCGCAAAATGCACCTGGCACCTGGGGAATGTCTAACACTGCATGCTAGGTATGGGGAAGAACACTGAATACACTTGAAGAAGAAAGGTAGGTACTTCCAATAGAAATGTGAATAAGCAGTTGCAAATGATGTCCCCCCCTTCCCAAGCAGTAATGATTCTACATATACCTGGGGGGTGGGAGGAGAGTTCCCATGAGTATATATAACCTATAATACTTGCTTGATACACTTCATGCACCTAATTTGTGAAGAGCCACTGAATTCATTCTTCATCTTCAGTTCACAGTCTTCCAAGACTATTAATGAAGCCAGAGGCAAAGGCAAAACAGACGTTACGCTGTTGATAATGCAAGGCTTCTGTATTCTGAAATGCACTTTGCTTTTCAGTGCATATATATCAGCATGTTTGTATGCTAGAGTGATTAATGTTAAATCGCCATTTAACATGAAGGTCTCTCACCTTCCTTCTAGTGCTCAATTGCCTCTGGTTTCACACAAGTATTTAAGAGTTAGAAAAATAAAAGAGTCTGGAGAAAGAAAATGTTGTGGCTATTCAGCAACCATGGAAGCTAGGACCTAGTTCCTACACTGTTTTAGCAGCAGGTACAGCGAAGTGGAGTAAGGAATGTAATGTGTAGAACTTTGAAATATTTTTAAATGTGTTTGCAATATAGGTATAGTGGGGCAAGGCACTACCAAATGACCTAGATCGCTCCACAAGGTGTAAACCTACACTGGGAATCCTGCAGTGGCACACTGTTGGTTTAGGTATATGATTTTCACTTAGGAAACAAGCTCCAAATCCTGGAGCCCTGCTCAAGAGTTTGAGATCACTGTTTCTTTATCTCCAGACAAAGCAGCAGTGGGAGAGGACCACTGTCTTTATGCCTATGGCTTTCCAGGAAGCATCTGCTTGCTGATTAAGTGGACCTCTGGTCTGATTCAGGACAGCTTCGTTCATTTAAGTGGTCACCTGTCTACAGAAACAGGAAGCTTACTTGATTGAAAGGCTACACTAAACTGCAAATAGATATATGCACAGGAAGCCCTATACCTAGTATTGCATATGCAGACTAGCTCATACCCCTCCATCCCACAAAGAAGCAAAGCATTCAATTAGGAAATGTGTGAAACAACTCCAGGGTGGAAATTACTACAGTACTTCTAATAGTAGAGAGGAGGGGAAATGCTTCTCCCCTTTTGTAGTTCTTCATCCTTGCACCACCTGTGACACAAAGCCTCTTTAAATCAAGCTTTGCCCAACTCCCTTGAAAACATCTGAAGTTTATGTAGGCTCTAGAGGAAAATTTGATCCACATCATAAGCAAGGTGGGACAACATCATTGGAGATGCTTTTGACTTTCAAGGGGCCAGATAGTGAAGTTCATGGAGTCTGACCAAACCTACCAGCCTGAGGCTTTCAAGCCCAATTTACAGATTTCTTCCAATAAGGAACCGAACATTCTTAGCTTACGTATCAAAATGTAGCTACAGATTGTGGGCATACAGGTAGCATAATTCAAAACCCTGTTAAACGGAAGCACTTAGATTTAAATAGCATTAAATAGGCTTAAAATCTAAGCACCCTGGCTTCACTGGGTTGTAGGACACGCTCACTTTATGCAAACATTACGCACTCAGCATTTGCATCATTGATTTCAATACCTTCAAACCGCATGAAGTCAATGGAACTAAATTGGCCTCATTCCAACTTAATTAAGATGCAGATTGAATGTCTCAATGATTGTGGCATAATAATTTTTCATTATCTACATTACAGTTGCACTCTGAAATCTTCGTGTGAACCTTCAAGAAAAGGATAGTTCCTACCTCAAGAAGTGTAGTAAACAGAATGACATCAAAAGAATCACTCCAGACATCAGTGGTGTTTTGATTAAGGCAAGTGCAATGAGTAATGGCCTGTTAGCCTAAGAGATTTTTTTACAACTCAAATTCAAATGCTAAATCACCATCAAAACGAAAGAAACAAGAAGCCCACAGAGGTGCCAAAACGGAAAACCTTAATGCCTTTTCCCCCAAAATCAGTTCTCCATCTTTCCCTCCCTTTGATGAGTGCTATTCAAAGAAAACAGAATCATATCTAAGAGAGTATAAACTTTTTTTTCTTTCCCTTCACTCCTTTCAAATCTTGCAGGCATTTGGCAAAGCAAAAATTCAGTCGCTTGATCTGAAGAACTGGAAACTATCCTTAGCAACCATCTGACTCACAGTTCTCTTTGCAGCTGTATTTTAAAGAATAATAATTAAAGTAATATTGAGTTGGCCCTTCAGAGAATGCTTATCTCCCTTGTTAACCTGTTGGCCTAGGGGATTACTAGGGTGGCTTTTGGCTTGCCCCAGCTTTGCCACTGGAATGACACCTTATCCAAAAAATATCTCCCCAAAACTAACCTCTGCAACAACATATGCAGAGAAGTTGAGGTTTGTGGCTGGGGCACCAAGACACCATTCTGCCAGCTCCAATATGTACCCACAAGTGAACACCCACTTCTTCTGTAAATTGACAGAAAAGCTCTCTACAGCAATGAGGGGGAGAATATAATGGCTATTTCTACTCCTCAAGGCTTACAAACCTGTATGTGCTCTTGCTGTTATAACAGGCATTCTCTCCCTCACCCCGCCCCCTCACACACACACAGCAAAATAATTACTCAAGGAAGCAATTAAAACAAAAAAGGTCCATCCAGGCAGAGGAGCAGCATGGACCTCAGAAGGCATGGTCGGGTAGCTAGTTCCAGCTGAAGGCTGGAAGCTGGGTATTACTCAAACAATTATTTCAGGATATTTTGCAGGGTGAAACAAATGTCAACCGGAATTGTTATCCCCTCCCAAAAGCAAGAAGAGGAAGAACAGTGGCCGAACTTACACAAGCATTTCCTACAATTTAACCCCAACTCCCCAACACTCTATTACAGTCCTGTTCTCCTTTCTGGTTATTGAGATTTTTGCAACAGAATCAAGTACAGGGACTATGAATTCATCATAGAACTGTAGAGTTGGAAGGGATTCCGAGGGTCCTCTAGTCCAACCCCCTGCAATGGGAGTAGAAATTCAAACCCCTGATTCAACGTCAACTCTAAAAAGGCAGAAAGCTCCTGAGTATGAAACCATCAACTTTGATTTTCCTATAGAAAAGGCAGGACACAAACGTGATTTTGAAAGGTAACATATAAATATGGCAAAGTAGGAGAACCAAGTGCAACAACCCTAGCCCTTTTCCTAATATATAGGGAATAATATTTTACTTTAGTTGAGTAAGAGACAACCAGCCAGCCACTCTGTTTTACCTTAAAAGGCATGCATAGCCAAAAACACATAACTGACCCAACCACAGTGGACACCTCATATTTTTGCCACCTACTCCACAAATGCCTCTATTTCTAAATTCCTATATTCCATTTTTTAAAATCCCAAAGTACCTGAATGCTTTCTAGAATGCCCCAGCACTCTGCTGATCATGTTCCCCTACATGACAAGGACACAAGCTGGTGCCTGTGAGCTGGAGCCAGGAATTAATCATCTCAGTGCTGCCGCACCGCCAGCCATCACTACTGGCACAGCTTGCCTGCCCTTTGGCCAAGGACAGTTGCATGACACTGGTAGAGACAATAAGGCTATGCATGCATGCGCAAGGGTGACCATGTATCATCCCACTGTACATGATACCCCAAAATCCCCTATAAACTTGGTGCACATGACTTTTCTGGAAGAGGAGGTTTAAGTCTCATTAGCTGTCTATCATTGCCCGTATTAATCAGTGTGCCAGGTCAAGGCTACAAAAGCCAACCTGGATTGTAAATGAGTCTCGTGAAGAACTATACAAACAGATGAGAGGATCTCTCACACATGCCTACTTTTGTAACCAGAGCTAGTTATCACCCGGTTGATGGAATGTTTGGCTGGAAACCTTAGAAATCACTGGGTGGCCTTGGGCTTTTTGTTATCTCAGTTCCCCATATGTCAAACCAGAATTTTAATGAATCCACAGTGAAATAAAGACACTGAAAAGCCTTTAGTGTAGCTGTATCAACCTTAAAGCAACTGTGTACAGGGGGGGAAATAGAGATGTTGCTGCTTGCCATCCCAAAGGACAGGGCGGGGGAACAGATTGAATTTCCCCCTAAAGGTCATACAATTGATCACCTGTAATTTACAGGCACTTAAATAGAGTGATACAAGCAAGCAGAAATTCTTGAAAAATCCAAGCTATACTCCCCTCTGAAGTAACGGCAATTTCCACAACCAAGAAGATATGAACCAAACACCATCCTAAATTACCAGCTGGCAAATAAGAGGACATACAGTGTAATTGCTTGTGGTTTATGAAGCCAAGCGGTGATGGAATGTTGACCCGGTATGTCAAAAATTATGCAGTAAACACAAACCTATTCAAAATTTTAATCGCCAGGATACCACTGCCTCTTCATAAATCAAGTAGCAAAGCTAAGTAAGTAAACAGCCAGCTCAAACAGAGACTGAACAAGCAGACAAAAAACTAGCAACCGTTCTGTTCATTTACATTCTGTTCACATTAATGGGAAAGGCATCAATACAACCCAAGGAATCAGTGTAGCTCCCTTAAGCCTGATACAGTGATACCACTGGCTTTTGAAAAGGGAATTGCAGCTATACCACACTGAACCCCTCTCTGACTAGTACAGAAAACTGTCAAAGCATTCTAATGTAAGGTAACTTGACCAAGATATGCTGCCTAATATAGCAGAAGGGAGTAACATCACAGCACTTCACAAGGGACAATTTAGGAGTCAGTTAACAGGAGACTTGCAGGCTATCAAGAGTGTTAGGAGTCACAGAGCGCACAAAGGCAACAAAAACTCTTCTCCCATGCAACTCTTCTCCCAGTTCAAGTGGACAAGTGAGTGGTGAATAAAGACAAAATTCTATGAATGTTTAGATCAAAATAATGTGTTGACCTTCATGTGCCACAAGACTTTATTATTTTTGCTACAGCAGACTAATGGGATAATTATCCCTCTGAAAACTTTACTAGCAATTTCCCCCTTGCTGCTTGCCTTACTAAAACACTGAGTAAAGTCTATATTCAAAATAAGTCTTTTTTCCCCTTCAAAGAGAGTATGCAGCTTGCAAAAAAAATATGCTTATTCTCACAGAAAATTTACACCTCGCATGGAACAAAGCCTAGTCAAGCGCACCGCAGAATTAAGGTGGTAAAGTTCTGAGATAGCAGAATTGTCTGCATTACTGTGACTAGGATGGGCGCTTGTTCTAGGGGAAGCTGCACATGAAGCAGTTTACTGCCCATGCATCAGGGTGCAAAAGCAGATGTGGCAATATCACATGTGTGCATTCCGCAGTGCAGGACAGCAACTACATTTTATCTTACTGAAGTGTGGTAGGGCTGTTACCTGGAACAGCTGAGTTTAACTCATTTCACAAACACTGAACATTCATTTCTATCTAGGAGACATTTGAAAGCCACAGTCTTCCGTAATGCACTGTCTATTTTAAGTTCTAAACACTTGAGCATCAGCTCCTCCCATTTGGTCCACTGTTTTAGCCACATTTCCTGTTTCAAAGTCTATTGGAGGAGTAGTTTGCATATTTCTAGCCCTTCCTATTTCATCTGATTTCTGATGTTCTCTTCTCTTCTCTTACCTTCTCTTTCTCAAGGTGATATAAACAAGGCTTTCAAAAATGAACCTCCTGATTCAACAACCACTAGGATACAGGTGGGATACAAGCAAACATGTAACCACTAGGATACAGGAATAGAACCACTGCTACCAACCATGCAAGGATTGTGACAGGTCATGGGATCATGCATTAGCATGTCCAGTAACCACATGCCTTGCCATCCACATACATTTAGTGCACATGAGAAGGGATTCTACACACATACTAACAGCTATACGCAGAGATGCTACACATGATGAAGCATCCTGGTGAAATCAGTCGATGCAATTGCTAGGCACAGTGCTTGCTGACAACTGCCACAACCCTCTTCATGTGTCCCTTTGATGCATGGGAGAGGAACAATTTAATGGATTTCTGTTTGGCTGTCTGTACTTAGTTGAGGACGTGGGTGACTTTTAAGTACATCACAGTATCCAGTGCAGATAAAGATATGCAGGGCTGTGACATAAGAATGACTTGCCAAAAACGTTTCTCTGAAATGCAAAGCAAACTGGCAAAGAGCCATAGCTCACTGGTAGAACATCTGCTTTGCATGCAGAAGGTTCCATGTTCGATGTGTTGCATCTCCCAGTACACTAGAAATGTCCCCACTTGATCCCCTAGAGAGCCACTGCGAGCCGGTGTAGAGAATACTGAGCTATATGGACTCAGTATCAGGCAGCTTCCTATGTTCCTAAGCATAAAGGTAAAGGTAAAGGGACCCCTGACTATTAGGTTCAGTCGTGGCCGACTCTGGGGTTGCGGAGCTCATCTCGCTTTATTGGCCAAGGGAGCTGGCGTACAGCTTCCAGGTCATGTGGCCAGCATGACTAAGCCACTTCTGGTGAACCAGAGCAGCGCATGGAAACGCCATTTACCTTTCCGCCGGAGTGGTACCTATTTATCTACTTGCACTTTGACCTGCTTTCGAACTTCTAGGTTGGCAGGAGCTGGGACCGAGCAATGGGAGCTCACCCCATCACGGGGATTCGAACCGCCGACCTTCTGATCGGTAAGTCCTAGGCTCTGTGGTTTAACCCACAGCATGGCTTTTAATTCATACAACTCATAAATATTCAAAATTTGTAAAACAGTATAGTTTAATACATGATCTATTACATCCTATATAAATGCTTGATTTCAAGTCAAACATTCCCCTTTTTTACTATTATGCGTAGAAGCAGGAAATAATTCATTGTGTTTAATAAAACCCATAAATTGAGTTTTAAGAGCTAAATTCTTGTGCTAATTCAATTCAAATTTCATTCAAAAACAAGTTTAAGTGACAATAAAACAAATTTTAAAAATTAAAGATCTGATTAAAACTCGTGGGATTTTTAATCATCAATTTGTATTCACCTGCTTAGCACTATTTGAAGGAAAGAATGCTGCAATTTGTCTCAGAGAAGAATTCAAACCAATGCTAATTAACATTAAAATTTTATATCCTAGCTTATGCAAATATCAAAACATTTTTATTCTTGGCATATATCCTGTTCGAGTGAGACAAACTGCATGGAGAAAAATATATCCCAGCTGTAACGATCATAGTTCAAACAAACCACAATAACTGAGTGGTCCATAAAAATATTAGCAGTATATACTCGCTCTGGAGGATCTGAAATAACGAATGAATTCTCCAGCATTCAGTATGTACACTGGGATTCCATCAGTGTTTAGTATGGAAAGTGCTTGCTAGTCACAAAGACCCGGCCTTTAATTCAAGAAAGTCATTGCAATTAAGCTAACTATATAATTTCTGCCTGGCATAGTTACTGACCCTCTTTCAAGTCACATCAAATTTGAAAATGTATCAATAATTGCATTTCAAATCAGATCAATAATGTTACTTGAACGCATTGTTTTCTCTGTCAAAAACTCATGCTCGGAATTTTTTATAGTTTAATGACAAATAAAAAGTTCCTACTGAACAACATTTTTCTCTATTGTTCCACCGTAACCTTTCCTCCATGTATTAGTGTTACCATATTCAGTTTTAATGTAAAAAGTTATATATTGTGGCCTTTTTGAAAAACAATACACAATGCTCTCATACAGAATCTCTGCTTGCATGCTAAACACAACATTGCTTAACTTTTTCCACAAGAATATATAGCAAATCCAGGAACTTTAACCAGAAGTAAATCCAAAAATATTCACCAGTCATTGCGTTAATTGCCATTTACTATGTTTCCATGCTTTCCCAGATTCGGCAGCATATCAAAGAAAAGACAGAGCAAATCTATCACTTCAGTATGTTTCTAAAGCTATCAATGAAAATGGAAGGAATACTATAAAAACATACAGAATTATATGAAGAATTAAAAGCTTACGAGATACATTTGAAGTTGATAGGCCAACAACAAAAAAACCAACCGCTGATGCAAAAATCCCTGCACTCATTATACATGCTGTGTTATTTACATTTCATGACAAACTCAATGAAATGCACTATATCCACAAGAACAAAACAGCCCCGTTTGGATTGAAAGTAAATAGTGGTGAAATTATAGTAGAGTTGTTCTTGGCACAATTCCAATAGCAACTGGAGTCATTATCCACATGCTCGTAATTGGTGGCAATGGAAGAAACATTTCCTCCATCCAACACATAGCAATAAGGAAATCTTCCAAAGGCAAAAAGAACATTGTACAGATTGCTCCTCCCTAAACAATCACCTTAAAATGTCCAATTACTCATTGTTACTCATATCCTTATCAGGAGATCAAATGTTCCTACCCACAAAAATATTGAGAGCTACACATGATTGTAGTAATCATTTGTGGCATGTCATTAAACTAAGGGGCTCATCCACACTTATGCTTGTCTCATGACTAGAAAGCATGGAGCCTAGTGGTTTTCTGCTTGCCCCATGCTGTGGGTGCAGAAGTAGGGCAGGTAATAAAAATAAATCAAGTTAATGGGTAAGTCATAACTAAAATATAAATCCTCAGGACAAGCAATCTTCTGGCTACAGCAAGGATAACCGTAATATCAACACTGGAGCATTAAGCGCATACTCTTACTGGAATGACGACACAAAAGTTAAGAGTGAGCATCACAATAAATATGTGGCATCCTGCCTCTTAACTTATCTGGAAGTCCTCAAACACAACCGCAATGTGGTATCTGGGGATGGATGGGGTGGAGGATTTTTCAGACCTTTTTTTGGTGTGCTGGAATTATTACTATTATTAATTTTGTTGGTTGCTTTATTTTGCCCAAAGCTAACCCCAAGCAATGTACAAGCAACTAACCAAACAAATACATGTTTGGGCTTGAGTCTGAGCAATTCTGCCTGTGTTTCACTTCCCCCTGGGAAAACCCACTCTTTAGTGCTGAATTGGAACAAATGGCAGTATGTGGAAAACCGGGTTGCTGATTGTCCCAATTCAGCACTAAACCGAGTTTTTCCTCGGGAGAAAGAGAAGTGTGGATGAAGAAATTATTGCAACAGGTGAACAGAAAAGGGCCTATTTTCAAGCCTGAAGTGGGACAAAATTGAAGGGACCTTTTCTGCGAAGTGCTACCCAGAAGTCAAATACATCAGTTTACCGGTAAGTGACTAGTCAAGCCTCACTGCCAGTTCCTCCCCTTTCCACGCAAGTGTTGTGGCATGCACAGTGGGTTTCCAAAAGAGGCAGGTTGCGTTATTAAAGGGAAGTTCTCTTTCTGCAGTTCTCTTACTGCACATAACTGTGGCATTGTGGGAAGTCTTGCTATGAGAACTATTGCTTCTTTTCTCTTGCATTCTGGGAAGTCTCGCTCATAATCTTTTCTCTGCTTCTGCACATGAGTCTGAGAATGTTCTGAACAGTTCCCATTGAGTTCATGAAACAGTGTATCCTGACCTGTTCTTAATGCATTGCTGACCATATCTACGGAACGTGATTGTTGTATTCTTTCATGTTATGTTCTTTCAATATCAATCTTTAGTTATAATTTAATTAGGAGGTTTCATGCCTGTCTAGTTCCAGCTCCGTTTCTCAGCCTTTGATCTATCAGTGATAAATGGTTATATGTAATTCCCGCCTTGTACCTATGTTAACCAATCAGCAACAAGATGCTTTGTGTTTGTATCAACCAATCAGCCACAAGCACACCTGTGGCAATGTTTGTAATATTCAATAAAAGAGAGTTCCCGGGGCTCGCCCCGGCAGACGCCTCTCATATGACACCTGCCACTCGTCTGTCGTGATTTCAACCCAACACGTTATGAGTAAGATAATAATAATAATAAATAAAAAGGGCTGCTGTTTTGCATTCCACAAGTGACACAAGTCTCTGCCTCTCCCACAAGCTCTCTGACAAGCACAGAAGGCTTGGAAGAGAAGGTGAGTTTCCTATCACTTGCACAGAGATGCTGATAGATAAGAAACTGTCCCAAGTGTAAAAGAAATATCCACCTCTCTTTGCTAGAGAGTTCAAGGAAGAGGTGGAGCCTTGCTTCTACTGCATAGCAGCAGAATTGGCTCGTCCTACCAATAGGTACCTCTGTATTTTTCTGCTAGCAACTTCAAAAATGTTATTTACAAGTTGGTAACTGCTTATGACAAGACCTCTGGAGGATTGCAAACACGTTAACCTGTTCTGAGATCGAAACTTCCACAGTAGAAAGCAAGAAATCTAATACCCAAACCATGGAAATGACACACAGCATTAACATGATCAGTGTGATTTAATGGAAGAATGCCATTAAATGGAAGAATGCATTAAATGGAAGAATGCATTAAGTTTCCTTCAATGCCATATGTATTTGTTTACTTGGTTGGTTGTAAATTGCTTGGGGTTGGACTTGGGCAAAATAAAGCAACCAACAAAATTAATAATTAATAATAAGAATTCCAGCACACCAAAAAAAGTTCTGAAAAATCCTCCACTCCTACCCATGCCCAGATACCACATTGCGGTTGTGTTTGAAGACTTCCAGATAAATCAGAGGCAGGCTGTCACATATTTATTGTGCTGCTCTCTCTATCTTTTGTGCCGTCATTCTAGTAAGAGTATGCTCTTAATGCTCCAGTGTTGATATTATGGTTACCCTTGCTGTAGCCAGAAGATTGCTTGTCCTGAGGATTTATATTTTAGTTATGACTTACCCATTAACCTGATTTATTTTTATTACCTGCCCTACTTCTCCAGAATAAGAAGCAGCTTGGAAGCAGGTGCCCCAATTCCTGCAAAGCAGATAGGTATCCCATATACCCACATTTCCTATTACTTTTAATAATTTCAAACACAACGAAAGAAGAAGAAGAAGGCTGAGTTCTGCTCAATAAAATTTCTTCCATTCCAATCTTTGGGCTTCTATTTAGATTACTTTTTTTTTAGAGCCTCATGAATAACTATGAGCAAAACTGAGTCAATTACAAGACACAACTAAATTCTGAGCCATGTGGTTATGTGTCCATGGTTCAACATGGATATTTCAGAGCTGGTAAGGGCACAGAAATGGGCAACCAAAGTGATAAAGGGCTTGGAGCAAGGTTTGCAATATTTGCGCAGTTTAAAAATGTTCAAGTTGTACGCAACTGCAACAGTAAGAAGACCCATAAACTGCATTATGGTGCATTTTGTCTTGAAACACTAATTGTGGCAATCACTAAACATTGCTCAAAAAGAAGAAAAAACCCACCCTCAGCTAAAATGCAGCTCTGCCATAAAGCTGGCAATAAGTAGCACCTAGTACATTTATCTACCTGGATATTCAAATGAATATTTAAATTCTATTAAGCACTTGGTTCTGTCAAATATAAAAATCAAGGCCCAAAACAAATATGTTTACTCACAGCTATGTTTTGAGCATGATCAGAGATGTATTCTGATGCAATCAGAACTGGCTGTGACTATCCAGTAGAAAGATTCTGGGATTGGCATGAATTGTTTGTTGTGGGCATCCGCCTGCCTCAAGAGACAATGGAATGCGCCTCCGAGGGTGAAGTCAAACAGCTGCATTGGCAGCATCAAAGTGACCTCCACACGGCACAAGCCTGGGCGGTGTGCATGGGGGTCCTACACTGCCCAGGTGACAAGACACACATACTCCTCGGCCTCACTGATGTAATCCAAAGGAAAGGAAAGCAATACATTTGGCACTAGCTTGGCTGCATGAGTTGCCGGAATGAGGCATACAAGGCATAGCTGTCAACTTACAGATTTGAAAATAAGGGACCAGCAGCCTCGGAAATAAGGGATCAGCAGCCAAAATAAGGGATTTTAGTCAACCAGCAGCCAAACAAAGCCTCAAGCGGTGGTTCCCACAGTGCAGCAACCCGGCAAAGGGGATGCAGCAAGGAAAACCACCATCACCTCTCCGCTGGGAAGCGCTGAGAAAAGGCGAGTCCCCAGGCAACGCGGCCGATTTGATCGGCACAAAGCATGCAAGCTCCACCCCCCAGTTGTTCTTAGACTCCTTATTGGGTGAGCAACGCAGCCAAGCAACACAGTTGGAGCCTCCCTCATCCCTGGCCGGCAGGGAGGGAGGGAGAGGAGCTGCTTCCTTTGAAACCCAGGAGATTTAAGGGACATTATCAATAAGGGATAGCAGCGGGACACGGTGCTGGGATAAGGGACTTTCCCACCAAATAAGGGACGGTTGACAGCTATGATACAAGGCACCATCCAATCACCTTAGGGACTCCACTCCAAATTTGTATAGGATAGCTCAATTTAAAAAAAATCAAATCAATGTGTAGCAGCAGTCAAAAGGGTAAAGTGCCCTCCCTAAAGGATTTGGGGGTCTTTGGGTAACAAAAAAAGATGGCTACAGGAATGAACATGGTAGAGGTGGGCTCTCTTTCAGGCAATTGCCCCAGGTTGCACATATGGAGGGCCCCATGCTATTGTGGGCATAGCAACCTTGTTGCCAACTCCACCCCGTCCCCCAATAATCCTACTAATTTGAGCTCCATTAACCTACTGGGGAAAATCACTCCACTTTAGGGTGGTTTTATCCTTTCGCCATTACAGCTTAAGTAAATAGTGCTTAGCGCTGTAGACAGTTTTAACAGCAGCAGTCCGGCCTAAACCAACCATAATCAGAACTTCCAGAATGCCCTCCAGGATATCTACTCCCCTCACTGCCATATTCTTATAGGCCAGAAGACTCAGAGAAGAGGAAAAGAACGAACAACTAGGATTGGACACCAAGAGCAGAGCAAAGGAAGAGACAGATTTGGACTGTGTTCTCTCTGTCTGTGTCTCTCTCTTGGTCCCTTGGTAGGTAAATAAAGGTAAAGGACCCCTGGACAGTTAAGTCCAGTCAAAGGTGACTTTGGGATGTGGTGCTCATCTTGCTTTAGGCCAAGGGAACCGGCGTTTGTCCACAGACAGCTTTCTGGGTCATGACTGAGCCGGAAGCCAGAGAGCACAGAAACGCCATTTACCTTCCCGCTACAGCAGTACCTATCTACCTACTTGAACTGGTATGCTTTCGAACTGCTAGGTTGGCAGAAACTGGGACAGGAATGGGAGCTCACCTGTAACGCGGATTCAAACTCCCGACCTTCCAATCAGCAAGCCCAAGAGGCTTAGTACTAGAACTCAAGGCAGCACAGTGAAATTGATGGGCTGCTGATTAAAAAAACAAAAAACAGGAAAGCACAAAAAAGCACCCAGTACATAATTAAATTACAAAACGTACTGTAATAAGATGCAGCCAAGATCACTGGCTTACATGCTCATTACAGTAAGTCTATCAACAGCTATTAGGCTATGAGAGTTAAACAGCAGAGGCCGCATAATAACTATGAATAACAGTTGCTGGAAGGGAAAGAAGAGGGAAGTATTGCCCTTATGAAGTAAAAAGTTTACCAACCCATCAGTTCTGTGTTCAAGTAAAGCTTACAGATAATCAAAACTCGGTTGATTTTTCCTCCCACAAAACAGAAACCAACTGAAAATATCATGCACAATTAAGGAATAGTTGCCATCCATGACGAAAGACCACTTTGTTGTTGTTTCACGTGAGCGTACTATAAGCAAATATCTCAGTGAGGAAAAAGGTATAGCAAGAATCCTGATCCTATCTTACTGCCGTAACAATTTTTATGCCCCCAAAGTGCACTAAATGTTTTACAAGGATTATACTGTTTACTTCTAGGTAGCTGTCCACTAGCTGAATACCAGACATTCCTTAACGGAATGGTATCTTAAAATGTCCAAGCACATATACGCATACACAACACAATTATGAAGAAAACATTAATGTGAAAACTAATGTAAACTGAACACAGATTTTAAAGCATTGCATAACCCTGTTTTTAAAACTGTAGGTTTAATCCTTTCCGAGACAGGCAGAGTTTATGGCCTGAATGAAGAGGTGGGCATGCATAATTAACAACCTTGGCTATGGTGAATCATAAGCCATTGTCCTTAAGGTATATTCAAAATGTATCACTGTGTTACAACAGGAATTTCCCACTTTCATCACTAAGAGAATACAGAATGCAACTCATGAATCAGCCAATCCTCTTCATTTAAAATGTTATTTTCATTTTTTATGAAGCCAGGCTGCCAGGTACATTTTAATTTTATCTTGCAGGCTAAGCAAGGAAGGTTGGGCATTTGATCATTCAAGACAGACCAATGTTTTGTTATATGGAAGTAGAAGAACTGGAATGGCCTCAAGGGGTCCAAATCAAGGCCATAATTGTAAGGGGGAGGGGGATACAGTAATCAACCTACTGCAAAAGTACACAAGGAATCCAAATCACAGTGCACCAGAAGCAGAAATCAGAGTTTGCTACGTATACCGTATATCATGAAAGAACCCAAGAATTCCCAACAACTCATTAGCTGAGCTAAATATTCGAGGAAACCACCAAAAGAGAAGTGCCAAAACACATGATAAATAGATAAAAACAACACTTAGACACTATTCACGATACAAAATGACACTTAAACATCATCATCTAGAAATTAAGTAGATCAGGATACCTTTAGCCAGCACAGAGGCTGTCCTGTCCCTACTCAGAAATAAATTTCTCTCGCCTTCCTTTAGCAGGATTCTTTTCTAATCCAGACCCAAAAACTAACGTTAAACTCATATTTCAAATGCTGGCTAATCTTAACACACTGTTAACTTTGGTGCTGATATATTTAAAAGCAGTTAAATGACAAAGCACAGAACTGGGGGAGCAAGAGTGAATGTGCTCCCAGGGAAAAGGTGGTCAAGAGGGGTGGTGAAGAGGGGAGTTGCATTTGGTCCCATGGCAGGCTCCTGGTGTCACTATCATTTGAAGCATGTGTTCCCAGAAATAGCCCCGATTCCCTCAACCCAATAGTGGCACCCGATATATGAACTTTTTCCCCGAAGGAGGATCAGATTATATCTGAATTTGATGCCACTATTTAATTAACTGGTTCCAAAAATGAAATGTCTGCAATTCATATGCATCTTATTATATTTTTTATATATTTATTACGAACCAATTTAAGCTTCTCTTAGGAGGTGTGGTATAAAATGTAAAATAATTAAAATAAAATAATCGGAGCTGGCAACATAAACAAATCCCCAAACACTGCATGTGCAGCCTCTATCTAAAATGGCAAACTGAGCATAAGTTATCGGGATGGATGTCAACTACCTAGTCCACTGCAAAGTATATTAGTATCATGTCCACTGAGCAAAAGATAATACTGTTTCTCTCTTGTCATTTCCTCCCTTACTCCCTCTCCCAGCTCCATGACTCTTTCAATAGTCTCTGTATCACAAATCGGGTCCTCCCATAAAGAGGGCACATATTGCGGTGAGACCAGGACAAACAACACCCTGTGTTGTGGGTGGGTACATTTGGTCAGCCACAACACCCAATTGGTAGGTCCCTCGAAGCGGGGGGAATCTGGCCAATGGGACGCAGTCCAAATGGTTCGAGGGACCTATTTATGCCCAGGCACGTGGCCCAGAGCTTCCTCTTTCGGCTTGTGCATCGGAACACCCGCCCACCTCTCCCTACTTTTAGGGCTTGTTGCGCTTGACCTTCCTATGCCGTCGTGTGTCATCTGTCGTTGGGACAGGGGCATGGCAGGATTTTTCCCCACTTGGCTGATTGGCTGTTGCCATTTGGGTTTCGCCTACCGCGTAGCAAATCATCACAACTTGTAAGGTTGCGGATAGGCTCTGGTTCAGGTGATAGGGATGGGAGAACGCTGTCACCATCCCTATGTGAAGGGTATTCCATTAAAGGAATCCAGGGACTCGATGGTTTTGTCAACCCCTGTGAGGGGGTTGTGCCCATGCCTGAGTCCAGGGGGACATTTGGGAGGCGGAGTTAGCCCATTCCCGGCTTCCCGCTTATCCAGGTGTTCACCCTTGGCTGACCTGTGCTGGTGCCCTGGGTCAGCGCTACCTGCAAGGCAGGGAGCTAGTCGAACCAGAGTCTATGCAACCAGTCACTTTCTGTAATCAATAAAGTTGTGGCCTAAATTCTGCCAAAAACCAAACCAAAAATTTGAGTCAAGTGTGAATTTATTTAGGGGGGAGGTTTCTGGGTCTGAACACGCAATACCTAAAATGATCTGTATGTAGCCTGTGCAGTTAGACGGAAGTGATATAGAGGGCCAAATTTTAACTACAGCACTACTCACCAAAGTAGTCAATTATTATACAAAGGGACTGTAAAACAAAGCAGTCATTGATCAGAGGTTAGCTAGCAAAGAATCCAATCTGTTAGCATTCTGTACTGAACTGTCAACTTTTACAGATCTAAGATGGATTTGGTTCAATTTCTGTCTCCCAAATTCTTAAAGGCATTGAAGTTCTGTTATTGTTGTTAATGTGTTTAGAGACTTCTATGTTCAGGGGGCTTGGCTTTTTAAACATGGGTGATTAAACTCGCAGCCCCGCCCCTTCCACACACCAGAGCAAATACAGGATTTTCATCTGACAGTCTCAGTTCCACAGGATAGAGACTTATCTTATTATCCATGCACATTGGTGGTGCTGTATAAATAGCAATAATCTACAGAAATCTTCTTATTACTTACTGCTACCCTAGCCATTAAGTGTATATCACCTGATACTTCTGTCAGCTTGTCTGCAAAGTCAGGAAGCCTTACCTGATAAATTCAGGTGACCATATACTGTGACATAAAAGCAAGCCATGCAGTGCCCCTGTCACTCCGTACTATAAAATAACAGTTGTAACAATATGTTAAAGGTAAGTAAAAATGCATCAGTTTTAGACCCCTAAAAGCTGTAGCAGTTTGCAAGACTTTACCCTCTTCATCTCTACTACATTACATCCTTATTTCAGACATTGTGATATATCTGTATCTCATGATGTTTAGCTGGTAACATATCACAATGTTGAAAATCATATGGTCAGATGCCACATGACAAATATTCCATGTGGTTACATGCACTCTTAGTAAATTTACAAGTGGCCACGAGGTATTCTACTATGCATTCATTTTCTGCCCTAGTGTTGGAGGGCAGTGCTTTCTAGCCACACAGCCTTGCCTTCCTTCGATTCACAATGGGGCAACCACTCTTTTTGACAAAACGGCACTTATGTAACACTACCTGCTTGCAAAATCCCTAGCTCCTTCCAGCTGTCACTTAAAACAGCTTTCTTTTATAAATTTGACGGATGTTCAAAGACACAGTCTAAAATAAATATACCATATTTGTTTTAAAAAAATAAAACCGAAACTTTTATCTGTCCAAGGCCAGCCCAAATGCTGCTGATTTATCAGCAATCCCAAAGTGGGTTAGAGCCAACTCTAGAAAAGAAGTAGGCATATCATAAAATCCAAGTGTCACAGAGAACCGAACTCCCATATTTTAAAGCAGAGAACTTCCTTCAATTTAATAGCCAGCTTGAAGAATTAAAGGTGTCCTAGATGACTACCTGCCACAGTTGCTATATTTCTGTGGTACTCCCATACACAGCTAAGCAAAAATGTGTTTTGCAAGAAATCAAAACGTGTCTCACAAAACAAGAGTATAAGGATACAACTACAAGTCGTTTCACAGGCCTTAATAAGGATATAACCAAACATGTGTGTTTCTTATATACTCTACTGATGACATTCATCCTGTTAAGAAACAATGCATTTCCACACCCTATCACTACCATTTCTGGCCCATCTTTATTCCTGTATGAAGTACTTCAGGATATGAAGCTGAGTCACCCTCACAACTGCATTCTGTGATAATATTTATAAACATCATTACAATGCCTTTTGTTCCAAGGCGGTAATTTCCCTCAGTATATGCAATGGATATTCTGGATGGTTTTATAAATCGCACGCCACAAGATTAGTTTAGCAGAGGGGAAACAGCTTTTCAGGGACATTTATACCCCACTACAGTATCACACTGACAGCACAACCTTTCAGTGCAGATACAGGGAATAAGTTATTGAGATGTATATCACAACCAGTAAGTCTCTGGAACATGAGAGATTAGGGAAGCCAGTCACGCACAGGAGTGTATAGCTCAAAAGGAAAGACTATTCTTTGCTGCACTCCCAAGACTGCAGTGGAAATTACAAAACCAATGAATAAATTCAAAGAGTTCTGCAGTTCTGCCACAAACTGATGTCCCTGCTTAAGGGTGGCATATGCATTAAGGAGAGGGAGGTTACAGATTGGTTTACTTTAAGCCGTGGCTTTCGACTGATTTAAAATAATCACAACCTGTTATGCTGGTGCAAAATCAAAACCAATAGTATTGTGCTGATGTGGCAAGATGATCCAGGTTATCCAGCCAGCACAGAAGCATTAATTTATTCTGCCACAGCAGCAACAAGTACCTCTGGCTGGTACATATGGCATAAAGGGTGTAATTATTTAAAAACAGACTTTTTTCCCTTCAAAACATTAGCTGCAAGAAGCACTGTTGTCATCACAGAAAGGGCGGCTGAATCCATGTCTGCAAACTAGTCCACCTAACTGTTCTCTGTGCGATTGGTGGACCTGCACACATGATTACATGGTGTAATTTGACAATGCAAGCAGTCCCCAAAAGAAACACAGCATGCCAGGACTGACTCACTCGCCAAGCACAGAAATGTCATTGTGGTTGTGTCACCATCCTGCTGTTGCGACATGCCAAGTAACTGACCCTGTTTAAGGCAATTTGTTTGTTTCTTTATTAAACTCATATTCCACCCTTCATCCAAAGATCACATAGTATTCCAGAGGGTACCCAAGAGGTTTTGTATTATACCACATACACCATGGCAGTCATTTTGCAACCAGCATCCTTACAACTTTCTCAAAATTCCAGGTGTGCCCACTAGCCCTAAAATTTGATGACTCCTTATACTAAATTATTGAGAGATGATCAGTGAGGCAGAAAATAAAAGAAGTATTTACTCTGTACAGTTCCCAGAACCAGATTTCAGAATGTGAATTGTAGGAAAATGATAGTGCCATTTAGCATCAAATTTAGTTTCTCTCTTAGCCACAATACAGTGGAACCTTTGGTTGCGAACGTGATCCGTGTGGGAGGCACGTTCGCAACCCGCAGCGTCGTGTCTGTGCACGCACATGACGCAATTTGGCGCTTCTGCGCAAAGCACAGTTTAGTGCTTCTGCACATGCGCGAATACCAGAACCTGGAAGTAACCCATTCCAGTACTTCCGTGTTTCGGCGCATCCGTAACCTGAAAACGCATAACCTGAAGCGTTTGTAACCCGAGGTACCACTGTACATCTTTTTTTCAACTCTCACACCCTTGATATTCATTAGAGACATGCCATATTGTAGAGCACAATCATCATTCACAGCTATTCTGTTATATTATTCTATTATGCGTGCAACTTTTTTTGAGATCAGTGGACAACGAACAAATTTTTCATCATATTGCAAATTGAAGAACAAACACACTACAGCAGACTTAACAAGCTTTTCTTTTCTTTTTTTTTAAAGCAAGGGAGCAGGCCATATTTAGCTGGTTTAAACATCAAATCATTCTTGTTTACCAAAGCTAAATTTCCCAACTCTCAGAAACAGGGGGTTGTACCCAATGCTGGGCCAGTGGGCACCCTGCTGGCACAACAGGTCTTTTGTTTCCTCTCTTTCTATAGTGCTCCCCCACCACCACCAAAAAAAGAAAAAGAAACTCCCAACCCCCCAAAGCTGATTTTGAGGAGCCATGGGGGTCTGGAGGAGCAGAACAGAAGGAGCAATTTATGTTGCATGCACAGAAGTCCCCTTCACCAGTGGAGCTGCAGCATTGATACAACCCAAGTTTTTTGTCCTAAAATTTATAACCTATTCAGGGTAAGTGATGCCACTAAGATTCCAATATTACTTTATGTCTGACCTCTATGACATTTACTTCAAAGAACTGTTTAGGGTTAAGACCGATGTGACATTTTCCAAGCGCTGGAAATTATTTAGATCCACGTTAACTACCCTGAAAAATGCCTCAGAACGCAGTGAAAAATTGTTACATCCATTCCCACCATATGCAAAATGTAACATACGTCTTTGTCTTAAAGTACTTCATCTGGTATTGCTCTTATCAATATATGATGATCAAGAAAAGATTACTCCTGTCCTGCTTCCTCTCAAATAAGTACAGTCATACCTCGGGATAAATATGCTTCAGGAGAAGTATTTTCGGGTTGCGCTCCGCGGCGACCCGGAAGTAACGGAGCACATTACTTCCAGGTTTTGCCGCTCGCGCATGCACAGAAGCAGTGAAACGCGACCCGCGCACGCACAGACGTGTCTTACGTTCTGTTCAGGATGCGAACGGGGCTCCGGAACGGATCCTGTTCACATCCTGAGGTACCACTGTAACTGGTAATCATTTACATTTATATATCTATAAAAAACAAGCACCTTAAATTTTCCAGGCCCATATGCATATTGAAGCAAGCAGAGAACAAAAACAAGCACACCAAAAAGGACACATGCGTGTAGGACAACTGGATTACTAAAGCACGCCTAAAATGGCTACAAAGCTTGAAAGCAAAGAATGCCACATACTGCCAACAAACTAAATTGACAAGTTATGCCAGAATCACTTTCCACCCTGGAAGAAATCATTTGCCCACCACCTGCAACGCAGGAATATGCAGCTGCCCCATAAGGGGCTCAAGCTTGCAACCTTGGCGTTATCAACACCATGCTCTCTAACCAACTGAGCTATCCTTCTGCCAATTCAAAAAATATAAGCCTTTCAACCACAGATACAACACTAAGGCTACAGCCAAAGCCACTGCCCACGAAGAAATCAATCACATTTGTAACAGCGGCTTGCAATTTGAAACGCTAAGTTCAGCTGTGTGTGACTCTAGTTTTTCTGCTGCCATGACTTCCAGTTAAAGTTACTGATGGACCAATTCCAGAAATAACAGTTGACAATGGGACACAGCCATTACTGCATCAGCTCAGAACGGCATATGAACAAGTAACGGTTTGTTACACGTACGAGGGGGTCTCAGATGTTCCAGACAGGAAACAACACACCTATGTAACATTCTGAAAGCACAATGGCTACCATGGAACCAGCTGTTGTTGCAGCCCTAGGGTAGGAAGCAGAGGCAGTACTTATGCCACTCAAGTGACAGATGATTGCACTTGCGTAAGCTTCATACATATAATAATATGACACCTATCAAGGACCAAAACAGGATGCACTTGCCCACTTACTGGTATATTGTGAATAGCCACTTGCAGCTATTCACTACAAGCCATTTGTTGAATATGCTCATCAGCTATAATTGGGGTCTCAAACACTCACTGCCTGTAAAGGCAAATATATGTTGATGTATTTATTCCAATGCATCTACTGTTAAACATATTTGAATAAATGCATCAACATATATTTGCCTTTACCGACTTAGCCCTTAGCTGTTTGCAGTACAGGTAGTACACCTATGTGCAGTTTCAACAGAGAACACCAAAACCAAGAGTCGTGACTGCTGTTTTGCTGAGAACCACAATGTTCTCTTCTCTAATGCACTCAGTACTGTATTGCATTTCCAAGAATGCTGGGCACTTTCAGATAATTTAGTCTGCACTCTACATTTTCAAGCCGTATTTTTATCACAACATTCAAAGTTTTGGGTGCAACCCCAACCCCTGAGCAGCTCAGCCAGCAGCCCATACACAGCTCCAGCATGGAAGAAGGTGGGGGACCCTTCTCTGCACCAGCTCCCAAGCCAACACAGCAAAGAGGCCCAGATCAGGCATACTGCAGATACCCCACTAGAGGAGGCTGGCAGAGGTGGTCAAGTACAGGTTACTTTAACAACTCCATTCCAGGCAACCCCACCACCACCATGCTGAAGGAATCATTATTATTATTTTTTGCCATCTGTCCACAATTGCTGATGAACGTTCCAGACTGCAATTCAGACACCCCTAAAGTTAGACTTTATTATTTCAATTCTTTAGAGCAACCCTTTATAGTTCAACTAATCGCTCTGGAGCCCAGCAAGACTATTTATTTATTCAGGCAATACGTATCATAATCTCCCTCTTCTACTCTCAGCAACTCTTTAGATGAACTGATCCACTCTGGACATTTGATTCTTATCTGAAAATTTCTTCTTGTCATTCCAAAAAATGTCTATTATAAACCACCTCCATACATCCCATTGGAAAGCATGGCTTCAGAAAGAACAGCAAAGCAATAGTGCAAGGTAGCCTTAAAGGAAGGATAAGCAACTTTTTTTTTTTTTTGCACTGTCTTGCACATATTTGCTCTAGGAGGAGAGTTGTAAAGGTTGGTGGGGCAATCTTGTCCCTTCAGTTTTCATATTTCAGTGTGAACTGCACCAAACAAATTGTATTTGCAGTGCGCAAGTAGAAGCTAAGATGAATTTCTAGAAAACATCGCTACAGAATGCAAGACACCAAATCATCTATTCCCCCATATTCTATTCAAAGTGTAACAGGATAGCACACAGCTTCTCTTGTGGAGCAGTCAAAACAGAAAACATGCAGTGCCATCAAATTATTGAGTGATGAATGATAAGGAATATCATTCATATCAACCATTTATTAATCTGCTGAAGTGGGTTATTGCTTACAAGAGTGCAAAAGACTAGTCTGTCTATAAATTACAGTTATAACTAACCCAAATACTTATTTTTAAAATGGCAATGTGAAAAGTTTATGAGCAAGGCATTTTTTTCATATGGTAAAATGTGTGAACGCTCCCCCATATGGTAAATATTTTTTTCACTATACTGTATAAATGATACTGAAGGAACAAAGCCATTTTTCAGGATTTTGTCTTTCACATCAGACCATTCATTAATAGCTTACCAGCCATACCAACAAAGGAAATACTCTTTCAAGAGTTGTTAAGTGTCTGTACAAGTAAAGAGTACAGAAAGTAACCTTATTTGGACCACTTAATCAGAAAAAATATCTATAAGATAAAAAACTTTTAAAAACTAAAGTATAAAATACAGTATAACTAACTAAATTATACGCTAAGTAGGCTTGCTGAAAAAAGTTTTGAGAATTTATGTAACAAAATAAAGCCGGGGTCAAGACATACCTTACTATATCTTAAATTCTTCCTAACACATGTTTAAATAGTACCATAGAAATTGTACCATAAAAGCAATCACAGGCTATAGACCTTGGAAAGGACCACATCTAGATTAGCTAAATCCCATTATGCACAGGACTTGAAGATACCTGTAATTAGAGCCTATCAAGTCAAAACCCTACAATTAGGATCTACAATAGATCAAGATGATAATATATAGGCTATGGAAGACCTGCCAGGTCAAAGGAGGCAAATCTAAAACCAGAAACAGGAGCAGAACGTTTTCCAATAGCATCAATTACAGAGCTATCCATAGCACAGCAGGGTATCTAATCTCCTTCTACAAAATTGCATCCCAAATAGCAATATATCACTCTTCACACAACTCCTTTATTGCATTACTTATTGAAATTTGTATTTCCAACCAGGGGACTGAACAAAAAAAAGATACAAGGATACTCATGTGCTTGTGCATAAACAAAAATACTCTGTTCACAAGCCAGCAATAGGGGCCTTTAAATATTACCCTAAGTACACAGCAGAACCTATGCACCTGGGATCTTTTCAAATGGCTCACCTGCATGAGTGAGGACAAATACGAAAAACTGACAGACCCTCTTCCTGGCAGATGATGATTCTACAATCAGGAGCCATGCAAATAGCCCCCTAATTGCACAGGAGCCACTCAAAGAAAGACAGCAGGCACACAGGGAATTTCTACACAAGTTATTTCATTAGCTGACCTCACAGAGATGTATTTTTAATGAAAGGAGACTTAAACCTCGGTCAACTCCAGGTGTACTTAACATCCACAATACACTGAGTATCATCTTCAACACATTAATTCTAAGCATTTTGAGTGTTCCAGCACTTCTTGTGCATTATCTGTCACGTAACCCTCCAACAAGCCTGTAAGGGAGAAAAGGAACGCTACAAACCTGATGTACCGTCTCCCATGTTTGTTTCTTTAAAAAAACAACCCAAATACCACCTTTTGAGAGTGTGATCAGGACAGAGGGGGGTGCTTAACCTTTTTGTTTCCTGACATGCATCCGCTCAAAATCCTCCCTTAGTAGGTCTGCGACAGTATAATAAAATTCATTGTTTTCGCTTTTCAAAATCCCCCACCGCCACTTTCCCACTAACAGGAGAAATTATACAGGGTCCATAATCGATTTCCGTCCAGAGAAAAAAGCAACATGGGGGGTTTAAGTAATTTCTCCTCTCCTGACCGGCAATTTGAGTGCAAAAGCAGCAATCTGAGCATCAAGATTTAATCATGGTTTGCCTAAAGTAACTAGTGGATTAGCCAGTAGAATTTTGGCTAAGGTTCAGTTTTGAACTGAGGGCTTTTTAGTGCACACTCACAGCCATTACCCTCCAGTTACTCACATGCATGAACATCACAAGGACCCTTGCCAGGGTAAAGTAAGTTTGTTTGTTGGTGGGGTGAAATGGATTTAGGGTAGAGCAAGAAGAGGCAATGCTCCCCCACAAAAAAAGTTTGTATGAAAGTGGTGTGCTCTCACACAGGAGAATGCCGCTTCTGAGATAGCACCAACTGTGTCACATGTATGTATAATTTAAAAACAAATAATGCTTTTTGTCACTCACAGCTATTCTTTTAATCAAATGCAGATTTAATTGATAGAATCAACTGAGATTTCATTACTCTATAGTGACAGACTTAATACTAATCGATACATCCACTGCCAGACTATACAGGATGAAATGCTGTCTACATGTCCAACAAGTAGGGTTTTTTTTGGGGGGGGGTGTCAGTCGATTCAGCTGGGTTACCTAGGAACAGCAAACAAGGATTCCCCTAGGTTCAGCGCAGTGCACAAGAGTCGGCTGGGAGAGCCAGGGCTAAAACAAGCCAACTGAGCATCAAGTTCCCACTCTCTCTTCTTAAAGACGCACAAAGAATCTTGCAAGTTAGTGGGACAGGAAGCTTCGGAGAATGGGGTGCACAGACCTCGACCCGCTTCATCGGAAAGAAAAGAGAGGCAAACCTAAAACTAGGGAAAGGGCACAGAGACGCCGCTGGATCAAAATAAAGACCGTGGCTTTACAGGGGGTGGAGAAAAGCAGAAAGGGGCGGAATTGCCAACAACGGGACCGAGGGATCCCAATACAGTAGTTTTGCCCGGAGATCAGCTCTCCAGAAAGGGCGGGTGCGAGGGAGAGAGAGGGGGAGGGAGTCCCCGGGAGGCAGCCAAGGGGCAGGAAAACACAAGCCGCTCCTTCAAGAGGAAACGCGCCTTGCAATGTGGATGAGAGAGAGAGAGAGGCGACCGCCCGTGCGCACCCCACCCTTCCCCGCGCAGGCCTTTCTTCCAAGGAATCGGCTCTGTCCCCTCCGACGTTGCTCATGGCAAGAATGCCAGACTCTGCGGGGCAGCCCGCGGAGACAATGAACCCAAGGCGGGCGAGGGAAACCAGTGTGTGGCGGGGGGCAGCTAGGCAAGGAGGAGGACCATGACAGCTTTTGTACTGTTCTTTTATTTGTTGCCGCTCTTGAAGGCCAAGCGGAGCCTCAGCAGTTTCTCGCCAGCCGAACTACCAAACTTGGCCGGGAAGTTCGCAGCGCCCGGCAAGGAGAAGCGCAACAAGCGGGAAGAGCCCAGGGGAAAAGCCCGAGGAGGAGGAGGACGGAGAAAGAGAAAACGCTCACCCACGCCGTATTTCTCCTCCCGCTTGGTGGGCACCCAGCGCGTCATGGCGCACGGGAGCCCGAGCCTGCCTGCCGTCGGGGGAAACCGGCGCACGAAGGCAGGGATGCGCCCAGCGGCGAGTCTAGCGAGCCGCCATTTTCCAGCCTTGGCCGCGGCCGCAACGGGACAAGGAGGAGGAGGAGGAGGAGGAAAAAGTTTGCAGGCGAGGGAGAAGTCATGTGGTACAGGCGGAGTCAGGGGCTTGGAGGCCCTCCCCGTCCCTGGCCGGTAGGAAACCCAGGCTTGGCTTCACTCGACTTCCTCCGGCGGCCGCCTCCGAAGCGAGCCCGCGCAAACGGCGCCCCGCGCTTAAGTTTAGCCCAAAGTCAGTCCCACTGAGCTCAGCAAAGGAACTTGACTCATATGCAAGCGGACGTGGGTGAGTTTACATAATTGGCAGTGGCGCCGCTTCCAGTAAAACTAAAAACAAAACCCGACCAATAAAGTATTTACTGTACAAGGGGGTTTATCTGGAAAGGCGGGATTTTAGAGAGTTTTGCCGTTTTTCACTCCAGATCCGGGTAATGCTGTCCAAAACGTGCTCTGGCATCATTGGCTCAACGTAGAGCTTTGCTTCTGAGTAAAAGTGTTTTGACCCTTAAGAGACTTGCAGCTACAGCTGTCAAGGTTCTAGCCCTTAGGGAGGAGAGACCATGAGCAGGCATATCTACAAGTTGCCTCCCGCCACCTCCTGTCAATGCACCCAACTCCCCGCTCCCCGACATTTACCGAGGGAAAAACTGATGAGCGGGCACTGTTGGGCACTGCTGCCCAGTGGCACTCTTGAGTCACCGCATCCAATACTGGCTCCAGCTGGCCTCGCCCCTAGGCTGTGAGGAGAATGGGCACAGTTGACACTGCTTCCGAAAGCACCCAGTGTCTTCACGGGAAGTCAGGGCAGGAGCATGCACTGTTGGTCAGTACTGCCTGAAAGCAGGACCCACAGGAGACATCAGCAACCAAATCTTCCCTCCCACAACAAAGGCAAGGAAGGGGAAGGGGTTATATTGTGTGGCTAAAATTGTTCAGCCACACAGCTGCAAAACTATCATCGACCCTTTCTCCCAACTTCAGAGCTGGCCAGAGATCACACTGCAGCTGGTTAAGTTAACCGAATTTATGTATTGTTTCCAGCAACAAGTCCCAAAGCAATTTACAACAATAAATATACATAAGCATATTGAAAACAGTAAAATCATTTAGTCACTGGTGCTGCCCAAATGCCGCGGAAAACAACATCATTGCATGATGCTGAAACAATGACAAAGTTGTTGCTTGGTGAGCCGCTATGGGGAGAGCATTCCATAAATGGAATGGGGCTGTTACACAGAAGGCCTTTTCTCTAGTCACCACCCTCCAGGCCTCACTTGGAGGTGGCACTATCTCAGGGTGTGTGGGCAGCTTCCTATGGGGTAGCTTTAGCTATAGGTGTCCTGAGCCATATAAGGCTTTAAATGACAAAACCAGAACTTTTAATTGGGCCCCCAAACAAATTGGGAGCTAGTGCAGTGGGGCCAGAACCAGGGTTATATGTCCATAGGGCTGGGCGATACCTGATTTTCAACATCATGATATATTACCAGCTAAATATCATTATATATATCTGCGGCAGCAGAGGGCCTTGCCATACCTCCCCACGGCAGCAGAAGGTGTGCCATGCTTCCTTACAGCAGCAGAGCTGTAGTTTGTTGGTTCTTAACCGGTCCATCCCTGAGGCCAGGCACCAAGCTTCAGAATTGGAAATACCATATTTTTCGCTCCATAAGTTGCACTTTTTTCTTTCTAAAAAGTAAGGGGAAATGTCTGTGCGTCTTATGGAGTGAATGCGTGGTCCCTGGAGCCGAATTGCCCAGGGGCAGAAAGCAGGTCATGCTTTTTTTTTAAAATGAAAGAGGGAACTGGGTGTTGGAACAAAGCCGCTGATTGCAAGCAATCAGAAGTGAGATAAGGGACGCTAGCAATAAAGGAGGCTGCCTGGGAGGGGGGAGGTAAAGACAGCAAACTTGCAAGGAGAGGAGACAGGAAGACTAAAGCAAGGAGGAGAGAAATTAGAAGAAAAGGAGGAGCAAAAAACTGCTCCAGCTAAGGAAAAGACACTAAGGCAAACAAGAGGGAAGGGAGTGTTGAAAGGAAGCAGCTGATCGGTGGGATCGGCAGAGAGATAAGGGACTATAAAGGAGGCTGCCTGGGAGGGGGGAGGTAAAAGCCCATGGATCCTCAGAATTTTTACATTGGATCACCCCAAATTCACCATCAGATCACACAGCATGTCCATGGCTACAGCCTGCACCAAAAAAATCACACACCCACTGTTTCCTGGGGCTGCAATGGAGTAAAAACATGGTTACAAAGCATGGATCCACATGGATCCTCAGGATTTTTGCACTGGGCTGCCCCAAACTCACCATCCAATCACATGTCTGTGGCCACAGCATGAACCACAAAAAGCATACATCCACTGTTTTGTTCAGAATATTTTTTTTCTTGTTTTCCTCCTCTAAAAACTAGGTGATTCTTATGGTCAGGTGTGTATTATGGAGTGAAAAATACGGTAAGTGATGCCAGTTGTCATGTTTGCCAAAGGTCAGCAGCAGCAGTATACCATGGCAAGTATATTTCTTCCTTTCCAAGAGTTTCTGCTGCTGTCTTCCCAATGTAGCTATATAGCAGTCTTCAACATTTTCTGACCCAGAACCCACATTAAACTGTAGAGCTATACAGCAAATATGTGGAAGAAAGGTATACTCCTTGCAAAAACTAAAAGAGGAAAGAAAATATCCTGAGGAACACATAACATTTTCTAGGAAATAAAACTATTTTTATAGCACCTTTGGATACAAGTCCTTTCTTGTATTGGCACTGGTTTGTTGCAGTCCTAAGGCCTGGCAGATTATAAATGAGACTGGAGTTCCATCACTACTGCAGAAGAAACAGAAGGGAAATATGGAGCCATTTGCCAAATGCCAATCTGACCTTTTCCTTAACTAAAACAAAGACTTGAAAAGTAAAAGTGCAAGAATAAATTCTAGGGAGTGGGGTGGAGAGGCATAAGCACCTTGTTGTCAAAGGGCTTTGAAAGCAGAAGCTTGAGCCACGCTACAGTTTTTCAGCCTGTCTATTTGTAGAGTTCACAGCTATATCGTATTATTTACAATACTGTAAATCATTGAGACTACTTCGAGCAGTAGGCAGTATCAAGTCAGCTGAGCAGGGTGGAGTCACTTTGCTTACCTGACTTCCCAGTACAGAGGTCACTGCTGGTTAGGCGGTGGGGAAATTGGCATGGTGTACGTGCAGCAGTAGTAGCCCTGGATTGGCTCCACTGCCGCCCCCTGACCCTCTCCTTTTCAGTTACAGTGGTGCCTCGCAAGACGAAATTAATCCGTTCCGTGAGTCTCTTCGTCTTGCGGTTTTTTCGTCTTGCGAAGCACGGCTATTAGCGGCTTAGCAGCTATTAGCGGCTATTAACGGCTTAGCGGCTTTAAGAAAAAAGGAAACAAACTCGCAAGAACTCGCAAGACGTTTCGTCTTGCAAAGCAAGCCCATAGGGAAATTTGTCTTGCGGAACGACTCAAAAAACGCAAAACCCTTTCGTCTAGCGAGTTTTTCGTCTTGCGAGGCATTTGTCTTGCGGGGCACCACTGTACTGGGAGCAACTTGTGTGTTGAGAAGCCATGTAAACAAAGCTACTCTGCCCTCCTGATCACTGCTAGAAACAGGAACCTGAAATGCCCTGCAGATCGGAAGGAGAGCTCACAGGAGTTCCGATACGCAGGAATTCCAAAGAAAGGTGCCCAAACCGCCAGAGTGGCCAGGTCTAACAATTTATTAAAGAAAGGTACAAACTTACAGCAAAGGCCTAATGGCTCCCTTCTTGCCCCTGCTCACAGCCTATCGTGGGTCAGACACCACAACAAGGAACTGGCTTGTCCACACCTAAATGAAGATACACACATTCTTTATAGGCCCAGGCAGACCACACCACATGGGAACACAGGTGGCTGGTATTAACCATTACCTCCCACTCTAGCTATGCTTGGGACCTGTGGATACATCAAAGCATGTGAAACACATGAGCTCAGTGCTACCTGTTAGGCAGGGGTCATCTTGACCATCAATATGCTGCAAGCAGGGCTTCCAGAAGAGCTCACCATTTCGGGTCAACACAGCACCAAACAAATTAAATATATGATAATGATGCTGAAGCTAGAATCTTTTAATTACATCTCGGTTTTCATATACATTTTGGGTTCAGTTTGACAATCAGTTATTAGATACAGGAAAACAGGCGTGATGGAGTCTGATAATGCAATTAACGCCAAATGCAGGCCTTACGTTATACTTTCTATACCTCTTATTTTTCCTTGGTGTCCCGATTCATGCCTGTATGACAATGGTATCCAGGTCTCTCCCAGCGCTTTATCACATTATATTACGGTATATCTGCCAAAGAACAGACTAAGATTCCTACTCCTGTTAATAAACGAACCTTTGAATTCAAAGACCATTGTGATGTGCTGACTTGCTCTACGCATCGGCATTTTTGCCCTGGGGTTGTGAGATCAAAAGTCTTTTATCCTCAGTCTTCATGGCTCGTCATCTACTGTATTTAAGTGATTTCAGTCCTTAAAAGACAACTTGTAGATGAGAACAGAAACTTTGATCTAAAGTGTTCGTCTTTCATTTCCTCTAATTTTTGAAAACTCTTGAAAATGAAACAAGTGCTCAAATCACCAGTGTGAAAGGGAAAATTGAAAGCTTTTCTATTGTGACTTCTAGGAACCTGAAGTTAAGCAGAACTGGCATTTACCTAAGCAGTTAACTGGCAGCCACAGACTTCTTTCTTTATCTCAGAAGATTCTCAAAGCAACCACCAACTTGTAGGACCATACTCATTTGTACTGTACTGCCCTTTGTACTTTCCAAGTGTCCTAACCTCAGGTGTCTGACTTCGCCTCTTTGAGGAAGAAGGCAGTGGACATGGAGAACGAATCAAAGGGTAAGAG